ATACTAATGGGAGACATGAACGCCAAACTGGGACCAGACAATACGGGAAGGGAACTCATCATGGGTAGAGAAGCTCTAGGAGAAATGAATGAAAACGGAGAACTCTTCGCCGACTTCTGCGCCTTCAACGAACTGGTGATTGGTGGCAGTGTATACAAGCACAAAGATATCCACAAGGCTACATGGGTGTCACCAGACGGGCAAACCAAAAACCAAATCGACTTCATCTCAATCTCAAGGAAGTGGAGGCGCAGCCTACTGGACACAAAAGCAAGAAGAGGAGCAGACGTTGGCTCAGACCACTATCTCGTACAAGGGACAATCCAAATCAAATTAAAAGCTTTCAAAGAAGGAGGAGCTGCAGATAGACCACAAGCCAAGTTCAACACTCAAAAGCTGAAGGACCAGGCTACAAAGGACATCTTCATTGCAAGCATAAAGGACAAAGCCGAGACACAAATCAACACTAGCGAAGAGGTCGGCGTTGAAAAGCACTGGAACAACTTGAAAACGGTGTGGAGCCAAACCTGCATAGAAATTCTAGGCAGAAAAAAGAGACAGGACAAACAGTGGCTCACTACGGACACTTGGAAACTAATAGAAGAGAGAAGGACAGTGAAGCAAAAGATTATCCAGTGCTACGACGAGCAACAAAAACAGGAGCTGAATGCAAGCTACAATACACTGAACAAAAGAGTGAAGAAAAGTGCCAGGGAAGACAAAAGAAAATATTATGAAACCATGGCAAACGAAGCAGAACAAGCTGCAGGCAAAGGAGACCTCGCCACACTCTACCAAACAACTAGGAACCTTTCGGGCAAACGTTCGACACAGATTAAGCCAATAAAGGACGACAATGGAAAGTCAATCACCAAAGAGGTGGAACAGAGAAAGCACTGGGTTGAACACTTCAAAAGACTTCTAAATCGTCCGCCACCTACAACACGTCCAGCAATACCAACAACGGAAGCAGAACTACCAGTGAACACTGACCCCCCGACGAAATCAGAAGTCCTGAATGCAATCAAGATGCTTAAAACTGGGAAAACACCGGGACCAGATGGAATCCCAGCAGAGGCTTTGAAAATAGACCCAGAGACAACAGCGGACTTGATGACACCACTACTGGAGAAGGTGTGGAAAGAGGGCAAAGTACCCGAGGATTGGAAGAACAGTTACTTATTCAAACTTCCAAAGAAAGGAGACTTAAGTCAATGTAAAAACTGGCGTGGAATTATGCTTCTGTCCATTCCAAGCAAGATACTAAGTCGCATCATCCTGGAGAGAATCAAACAAGCCCTAGATGAAAAACTTCGTCCGGAACAGGCTGGATTCAGGAGAAACAAATCATGTATTGATCAAATCGCCACTCTACGGATCATCATTGAACAAAGCTTGGAATGGCAGTCACCTCTCTATCTCAACTTCATCGACTTTGAAAAGGCCTTCGACAGCGTCGATCGAGAGGTCATTTGGAAACTACTTCGCTACTACGGGGTCCCATCGACAATTATACACCTCATCCAACAGTTATACGACAATGCTGCATGCCAAGTAATCCACAACGGGAAACTTACGGAAGCCTTCGAAGTGAGGACGGGAGTGAGGCAAGGCTGTCTACTATCACCAATGATCTTCCTGATTGCAATTGATTGGATAATGCGACAGACAACGGCAACCAACGAGGGAACAGGCATAAAATGGACTGACACAAAAGACTTGGAGGATCTGGATTTCGCCGATGATATATGTCTGATTTCCCATAAACTGGAAGATATGCAAATGAAAAGTAACAAGTTGGCAGAAGAAGCATCAAAGATAGGACTTCACGTGAACATAGATAAAACAGAGATGATGAAGATTCCTTGCCAACATCAACAGCAACAACAGACCACAATAAGCATAAATGGGAAGAACCTGAAAGAAACAACCTCCTTCACCTACCTGGGAAGCATCGTCTCAACTACAGGCGGAACTGACGAGGACATCAAAGCCAGAATCGGAAAAGCAAGACAAGCTTTCATTACTCTCAAATCTGTGTGGAGGTCAACAGCATTCAGCATCAAAAATAAGATCCGGATTTTCAACTCCAATGTGAAGTCAGTGCTACTATACGGATCAGAGACTTGGCGAGTCATAAAGAGCATCTCAAACAAACTTCAAACCTTCATTAACAACTGTCTCCGCTCAATACTCAAGATCAGATGGCCAGAAAAGATCAGCAACAGGGATCTCTGGGAGCGAACCAATCAGGAACCGATTGTGAAACAAATAGGCAGAAAGAAATGGAGATGGATTGGCCATACGCTGAGGAAACCATCAAGTGACATCACTAGACAAGCCCTCGAGTGGAACCCGAAAGGGAGGCGGCGAGTTGGTCGTCCAAGGGTGACTTGGAGGAGGTCATGTGAAGAGGAGATGAAAGCATGTGGGCAGACCTGGAGCAGGGTGAAAAAGTTGTCAAAAAACCGAAGTCAATGGAGGTGCGCAGCTGAAGCCCTATGTTCCTCTAGGAACTAAAGGATACAATAATAATAATAAATAATTGTTAGTTGTCTATCTAAGTTAATGATGAATTCGTTGCGATAATAATATCTGTCATTGTTTTTATAGTCACTATGAACATGAACGTTATTATTATTGCTGTCAAGACCTATTATTTGTCACAAAGTTGTTGTCATTTTTGCTAAAATATTTGTACAAGCTTTGGAAACTACTGCATAACTTGTCGTTAAATAATTTTATCATTTCATGATGCTTCGATGGACCTAATAGATATCGACAAACGATAAGTTGCGAAGTCCCTTAAGTTTAGTGAAAACTATTGGGCTACTTATATATATATTGTTTGTAAAGTAATTATTTGTAAATGCTTATCAGGAAATTTTTTTATTCAGATCACACATGTAATACCCAAGTTAATTATGCTTTTCTTAAACCTTTTCAGACTTATGGAAAAACATATATGTGCAGGGTACGCAAATGGAACTTACTGACGGTAACAGAATACTACTCATCTGAATTATCTGTACATTTGAAATCTGATTTTTGTTTAATAAACAATTTTTCAATGAATCTGTCTTCCTTCTGTTGTAATGCGATTGTGTTCCAGAAACATAAGTAGCATGTGCTAAGTTAGAAGTTGAGGGTAAACTGTTAGGAGTAAATGCGGCGTCTGGGAAACTTTTGTTTACGTGATTATATGAGCAGATAGTAACGTATCGTGTTCTTTGGCTGAGAACCCTAGGCATTCTGTTTTTAATTATTACGATGACCGTAGTTGCACTGAGTCATACATCTAACAGCATAGGTATAGTTTCTCCTTATGGTACACTGCGGCATACAGAAATCACAAGCAAACTATCCCAGGTAGATTTACTCTCACTTTGTGACTATGAATCGCGAATCAGTATATGTATTCTGCTAAGACGATAGATAACTCGAAACGCTTTATAATCGCAATACCTCCTCTACGATTTAGACATATTTACTTTATTTGACTACAACATAATGTTTTACCAACAGGCTTCTCCGAATATCTGCTCCTACTTAGTATTTCAAAGATAGCCCCATATACTCTATACCTCACAAATTACGCAAGGGCTAATATTCGCTCTTATCAAGTAGAATAAACAAACGAATAACAAGGAATACATTTATTAATGATATAACATGTAATACGAAATCGACAACATCTTTTCCTTTATCACCCAAATCCAAGAAATTCCCGAAAGTAGATATTATCTGAAAAAGAACATAAGAATTATACAGATGTAGACATTGTTCTCAGTGTAAACACAATAATTAAACATTATATATACAATTGGTGGATGGTGGCTAGCAGTGGAATCCAGGATAAGGCGCATTTCGTCCTATTTGGGACTCGTCAGCTGGATGTACCTGCATTTCTCAGTGAGTGATGATGTTCCCACCGAGGCTCGAACCCAGTGCCCATAGTTTCGAACGCCAAAGCGTTATCCACTAGACCACTTTGGCGTTTGAAACTATGGGTACTGGGTTCGAGCCTCGGTGGGAACATCATCACTCACTGAGAAATGCAGGTACATCTAGCTGACGAGTTCCAATTAGGACGAAATGCGCCTTATCCTGGATTCCACTGCTAGCCACCATCCACCAATTGTATACTAATTAAATACCCAGACATCGTCGAAGCATCTGCACAAGAAGCCGACATGTCAACCTGAGACCGAGCACTTCGGTCCAATCAATCGACGGGAAAATCAAAAATTCAATTCAATAACCATTAAATATGTTTAAAATGACGAAATAATTAGTTGAATCGTACATAATTATGTCAGTAAACATTTTTCAGTAATACAAAATCGATATTGCATTTGCCTGCAAACGTCAAGTTTATGCCATAAAATAAGAAAATACTATGCGCATATAATTTCAAAGTATTTCCGCAGATTTTTCCTTAAAGAAATACATGTGGAGGAGCCTTGTCAGCATTAGGAAAAGTACACAACATAGTAAATGAAATAATTACTAAAACGAGCTATCCCACCTCATCATGCCCATGTGTAATCCATTAAAATGCAAAAAAGTTCACGAAAGGGTCGTTATAACATGTGTCTTCAAGTAATTCGAAAAGTACGTTTTTTCAACAAACTGCAAACTGCCTGTAAGCTACGGCCGGATAAGGACACCACCATTGCCTATTTCTGCTAAATACGCCGTATTTCATCAACTTTTAGCTGGAATATATGTAAAAAAGTGTGTATAACAACGAAAAATGACCTAACCTTGACGTATTTTTCAAAAATAACGCCAATATCCATCAGCTGATCAAATGACCTACGGCCGTCTACAGGCTGCCCTAACGTGGACGAAAATTACCTTTAAGCGTCTCACTCCACCAATGACCTTGATAAGTTACGTATAATTTCAGTCAGAACGATGAAATTTCGTCGGTATTATGTTGAATATTGAAATCGCCCTTGTATTATTTTTGAAGTCATACGTTACTGTTTGTCAAAATGAAAAATGATGTCCTTGTTGACTTCTACCTTTCTACTATCAAAACACAGATGTGTGAATTGCAGCTAGTTGGACTAAAAGAAGATGACCCCCATTATGCTGTAAGTAATTTTGTGGTAAGATGGAAGCATCTGGCTATTCATGTAAAAACAACCTCATAGTACCGCCGAAGTAGCGAGCATAAAGGGCAAACTTCGGGCCAACGAATAAAAGTGGTGTAGCTTTCTCAGTAGAATTACTCAATTGTGCATACTGGTCGACATTTGTATTAGACGCACATCACTCGACTAGTTAGTATCATGCACCAAATGTAGCGTAACGTGTTTTCTGTTACATTAAAAGTATTTAACATTTGTCACTGTCTATACATATTCCTAATTCTCACATCTGTTTGATCTCGAAAGAAGCTTGTTGACCAAATGTATGAGTGCTAGCTTTCGTGTAGGTTTGTATGCGATCGGCGTAAGAGTATTGATTTATTTAGCTCAAGAAAATTGACATCAATTATTACCCTATTGAATCGTCTTGAACTACGTATTTAACTGGTTTAAGTGAGCTACGAATGTACTCTTTTTGATGCCTCCTGTCATTCCTGATTCTACCATTTAAATGTGTCGTATTTTCAAAGTTGTGCACACCTTTTGTAATGGCCTCTTTACTCGAACCCCTTTTTTCTTTCGTGATTCAAAACTCATCTGATGAAATGGGTAACAGTTCGTCAGTAGTAGTTACATCTAAATTTGAAAGTGCTGAATGTAATTCACAAACCCAAAATGTAAGATGCTGCTACAGGACTGGACCACGTCAACCCCTAACTTAGTGATAGGGAGTGAAGTGATAGAACATGTTGACCACTTCACCTACTTGGGAAGTTGTATTAGCACCAACGGACTGATTGGCGATGAAATCTCAGCACGGATCCGAAAAGCTCGAGCTGCTTTCGCTGACTTACACCATCTCTGGCGTAGGCGTGACATCCGGTTATCAACCAAGGGACGTGTGTACTGCTCATCAGTTCGCTCCGTCCTTCTCTATGGCTCTGAAACATGGCCAATACGCGTTGAAGACATGAAAAGGTTAACTGCTTTCGATCATAGATGTCTGCGATCCCTGTCTCACGTTAGGTGGTTTCACAAGATAAGTAATGTTGACGTTAGGCGTAGAGTGTTGGGCAAAGAGGGAAAATCAATCAACGAGGCTATAAAGTTACATAGACTAAGATGGCTAGGTCACGTGCTGCGCATGCCTAACCACCGCCTCCCCCGACGGGCATTGCTAGCTGACATAGGTTCAGGTTGGAAAAGAGCCAGTGGTGGCCAAACAAAAACATGGCATCAATCCATGAAATCCTTGACAGTTAAACTGAGTCAGGTAGGGAGATGCAGACTCCCGGGTTGGGGTCCTCGGGACTCTAGGAATCAATGGCTGGAGACAATAGGTGACATGGCTCAAAATCGTTGTCAATGGCGCAGATGTATTCAGTCTCTGTAATCTTTCATATTCCTTCCTACCATTACCCATTCTGTTTCACTCTTATATTTGTCAAACTCTATTGATTCTCTCCACTCATCTTCTTGTCTACCTTGTGTGCTATTTGGAACGTGGGAACTCGAACTGGTGCACTTCGGTGCCAAGTTCTATGTTGAATCCAGACAGACAGACAAACCCTTTACACAACAAAATGTCATCACTAATATGTGTAAAATGCGCTTCTCACTATCGAATTTCCTATGGACTTCGTTAATGTTGAGATTCAGTGCAGAATTGACTTCAAGCATAACATCTTATTAAGCGACTTACATAGATATATTTTACGTGTTCTATCTTTTTTGTCATCAACATTGAGCTTATAGCAGCAAAGATCTGGTAAAGAGAGAAAGAATAAGAACTAGTAATACTAACGGGTTATCAGATATGTTACCTAACATCAGTGGATATGAAAAAGTTAGTAACCATGTGACTAGTTTGTTTGATTGCAATAGAATTTCGGATTTTATATCTTTAAATACGGATAAACATCTCAAGTTTATCGATTCTGCAGTTAAGGATTCCAGCGTGTGTAAGTAAGGCATGTGATGCATGAGGAACTACTTAACTCTTTGTTGATTTCGAATAAGTTCCTCCTTTGACGAAATTGTTGTAACACCTTGTATCTTGTAAAAGACCTAGGCTGTCTTCATCGGAACATTTGTATTAGATATTCTACCTACTGTGAATTTGTCAGTGGTGTTCATAAGTTTTCACTGCTTGTTGTAGTCAATACAACTCAAAGTTTGGTAGGGTTTCGTTGGTCTACTAGACCTAAATGAACACGATGGGTCTTCCAAAATATATAAATACACAGAATAAATAAAAACAGACCTTCTGAATTCCATTACGAAAGAAAAATGCTTCTTTTATAATGGATTTATGTGTTTTCATCGAAATCTTGACATAATGAACTACTGAACAACTATATGTTGCGTTGTTTACGTTTGGATACCTGGTTTTTATCATCCTCATTAACAATAACAGAAAAGAAACATAGCTGAGATACACTTTGTAAAATGCACACTTACAGAATCTTGTGTTTGCTATATAGAGGGAAAGAAAATTGTTATCTAATCGTTTTAGTACACCTTGATCCGTAATACTTAGTTCTAGGGGACATGAGCCTGTAGCTTTTTATTTATTACCTGAAACTGAGTTTCTGTTTACTGTGATGTAAACCACCTTTCCTCTGTGCAAGCATTATTTCTAGCTTAGCGAGGTGAAGGGGTGCGTCCATGACCGGGGATCGAACCCCGGACTATGTGCATGGTCGGCGAGCGTCCTAACCGCTGTGCCACCAATGCCAGTTAGCTATATGCTTTATTCTGTTTTTGTCCACGTTTTTCCATCATCTTAAGCCATAACTAGTTGGTGTGAGTAATCTACTTCCAAACACTGGATCACGAGCTTGAAATCGGTTTTAATCGACCAAGTTTCGGACATCTATGTGTCAATATTAGCTCTCATACAAATGTTTTGGCTCATTGCAAGTTACTTTTAGGTAAAACTTCATTTTCATCACACTGGACCAACAAATATTGATTGTTTAATATAACTTGAGTCATTTTGTCGTACACTGACCTAAGGTATTTATCTTATATCATGTTTTAATGTGCCAGCCATTGTTGCACATTTTAATGTCAACCTCAGTGTGATGGATTAACAACAAGACCTAGTGATCAGATTTCTGAAAACAAACTGTGATCATATATTATATTCCTTACAATTTTGTTGTTTTTCTGCACAGGTTGTAATGCAAGCAATCGAGTCTGTCAGACGTGAGCTGGGCTCGATGACTTCGCGTCTGCTCAGTGCTGCCTTACCTACAAATACTCGGCATAAACGTTTATTTCGAACTAAATATGTTGAAGATGTGGACTTACGGAATATTGAAAACTGCTTAGTATCAGCTGCTAATAAAGTAGTAAATTTTAATTTCGGGTAAATTAATCCTTGACTTTGAGTGTGATTTTTTCTTTCTTATGGTTATTTAAGAATATTATTGCCATTGGTCAGAAGCTTAAAAGCTTTCAGTACGCCCGCGTTGTCAGTTGTCACTCATAGATGCACCACCTTTCTAAAGTAAAAAATGGGTATCAGAAATCGAACTGACTTACTGACGTATATTTCATCAACTTAAAAAATCCCCATTGAGTCACATGAAAGAAGAGGCGTTCAGCGGAGAGTTATTTTCTCCAGCGATCTCATTCTCAAGCTGTACAATCGTACATATATATACAATAAATTCCCTCAACAACAAAAGGCATATTTCTTAAGAGGTGGATTGGCCATAATCTGAGGAAACCATCAAGTGACATCACTAGACAAGCCCTCGAGTGAAACCCGAAAGGGAAGTGGCGAGATGGTCGTCGGTGCAAGGGTGACTTGGAGGAGGTCATGTAAAGAGGAGATGAAAGCATGTGGGCAGATTTGGAGCCAGGTGAAAACTTTAGGAGAGAACCGAACGCAATGGAGACGCGCGGCTGAACCTCTGCGTTCCTTTAGGAATTGAAGGAAATAATAATAAAATATTAAATTGTGTCGGCCTTATTTCGCAAAAAAACAGAAGTCGGGAATCATTACTTGTCATTGTAAATAAATGGGGATGTGATTACCCTGTACTTTGGCGAGTCTGGTGTCATTCTTTCTTCAGGGTGTGAGGGCGCATTGCTGAAGAATAGCAAACCAGGATGAAGCAATTATTCACCGTTCTGTGTTATTCAGTCGTTATGAAATCTGTTGTTAAACGGGAGCACGTGTATATCTAAGAAGTATGTTTGCCTGTTCTAATTCCACAGATAGGTATAAAATGAAATATTGGAACTCTGTCTACTGTTTAGAAATCGGCTTTAATTGTGATCAGACTTGAAACAAATCAAAACTCTTGAAAATTAATATAATGCTCGTTAATCGGGCAAAAACTGAAGTAATATTAAATAGGTAAATTGTGTGATGTGATTGAGTAGAACTCAACTAAAATGCGGATAAAAATCAAGTTAAGAACAGTAATAATAAGAAGTAGGAGTGTTACAGTGGTGGAGAAAGTGGGCAGAAAGGAAAAACAAAATAATTAAAAAACAAAAAATTACATACCCAGTGTTAATGCAGATTAGGTCCATTGTGGGTCCAGTGGCTGAATAAACTTGTGTGTGTAGAGTTGAGTATTTAACATGTGGACTACGATCACTTCTACGGCTTAAAGAAGTTTGGTTCGTACTCCTTTGGCAAGATGACTTTAAAGTTGGTTTGTAGGTTAGCTTGGTGTCCAGAGTCGATCTGATCTCTGACGAAATCTCAGCACGAATACAAGGGGCTCGTTTCGCATTTGTTAGTTTACGCCGTCTCTGGCGTAGACGAGATGTTCGACTATCGACCAAAGGGCGGGTGTACTGCTCATCAGTCCGCTCCGTCCTCCTTTATGGCCAGCTGTGAGACCTGAACACTGAGAGTGGAAGACATGAAAAGACTAGCTGTCTTTGATCATAGGTGCCTGCGTTCTATTTCCCGTGTAAAGTGGCATAATAAGGTGAGCAACATGGAGGTTAGGCGTAGAGTTCTAGGTAAACAGGGGAAATCAATCGACGAAGTCGTGAAGTTACAAAGACTGAGATGGTTAGGACATGTGTTACGTATGACAAGTCATCGCCTCCCTCGACGAGCTATGTTAGCGGATATAGGGTCAGGCTGGAAAAAAGCTAGCGGCGGTCAAACAAAAACTTGCCACCAGTCAATGAAATCCACAGCAGTTGGTCTTAGCCACGTAGGAAGGTGTAGACTTCCTGACTGGCTGGGGTCCTCGGGACGGTAAAAATCTATGGTTGGAAACAATTGGTGACATGGCTCAAAACCGTTCTCAGTGGCGCAGATGCATCCACTCCTTGTGACTTATGATCTCCAATGAAACTGTTTTGTTATTCTTTATTACTCCTTTGTCTCACACCTCTGCTCACTGTTTCTATTATGCTTTTCTTGTACTTTCTTCTCTTGCTTCGCGTGCTACACGGAATGTGGCGACTTGAACTTCCGCACATTTGTGCAAAGTTCTATGTCGAAAACAGACAGACAGAGTCGATCAAGTGTTTCAGAATGGAACGACAGGCGAATCTATTTCCACCTTTATAAAAACCAGGTAAATGTTCAACGATACGTTTGGATAGCAACACTGAGTACAGCCGACATACCTAGCTCCATAGGAGCAGCTAAACTGATAGATACACATTGTTGAGGCTGTCAGCAGTGGTTAGTTTATCCCTCAAAATAATGTGAGTCATTGGTTTTGTAGAACAAATAAGTCGAAGGTTAACTACAAAGAAGGCTTTCTTCAATGAACGAGACAGGCAGTTTCTCAGTATTTTTGCCTAGGTGTCTCCATTGAATTCAATTCATTCCCTTGAGTTATGTGTGGAATAAAAAGCTTAAAAACTTGAGCTTTGAAGTCTCAGTAGCGCTGGTTTTTTACGGGATGGAGTTGCCAAACTCACCTAGCTCCACCTTCCCTCGTTATCAAGCTTATTGCTGGCTAGGTATGATTAAAAGGAGCTCACTAGCCGGGAACCAAACTCGAACCGCTCTCCTTGCTGATGAGCATTCAGCAACTGACTGACGGTGAATAACATCATAATACCTTACTTTCTATATTTTTAAAATTCTAAACAAGGTTAACACCAAAATAACAAAATACCTTTTGTCTACTTTTTCTCTATAGCCAATCTAATATAGAATGTGATCTTAGACCGGCTCAAGCAAGTGCCACGGAATTTTTAGATACACATAGTCGAGTTCAAGCTATGGTTATCAGTACAATGGAAGCATGTTTAACTAGTTTAACTTCTAACGATACTGAAGATAATTCAACCGTCAATCAAAGAAATAATATCCAGGGTGGTGGTGATGATTCAGGTAATCAATCCATGAAAGAGTTATCATGAGTTATTCATAATATTTTTTTACTACTCTAATCCAGACAACAATCAGCTAGCATAAATGGGATAAATCTGAAAGAAGCAACCTACTTAACCTACCTAGGAAGCATCGTTTCAATTACAGGCGGACGGAACTCATGAGGATATCAAGGCAAGAATCGGAAAACAAGGCAAGCTTCCACTACTCTCAAGTCTATGTAGAGGTTGACAGCACCCAGCATGAATGATAAGATCCGGATTTTCAACTCCAATGTGAAGTCAGTCAGTGCTACTTTGTGGATCAGAGACTTGGCCAGTGCGTCATGAAGAGCACCTCAAACAAACCACAGACCTTCATCAATCAACAGCTGTCTTCGCTGAATTCTACTCGAGATCAGATGGCCGGCCAGAAAAGACCAGCCACAGGGATCTCTGGGAGCAAACCAACTGGGAACCGATTATGCAACAAGTGTGGAGGAAAAAATGGAGCTGGATTGGCCATACTATGAGAAAAAAATCCCATCATCAAGTGACATCCATCACACGCCAGGCCGTCGCTCGAGTGGAACCAAAATGCGAAGCGGTGAGTTAGGATGAAAACGTTGGCAGAGAACCGAACGCAATGCAGACGTGTGACTGAAGCCCTATGTTTCTCTAGGAACTAAAGAAATCAATAATAATTACTACTCTAATTTCATACAGAGCAATATCTCTGGCATGCAGTTACTTAGAGTATTATTATTGTTATTCTCTTGGGTTCCTAGTGGAACATAGGACTCCACGGAACACATCACTGTTTCACTCTGTTCCCACACAGTCTTTTTAAGGTGACTTCATGATTGCCCATGTCACTCGGACGCCCAGCTCATCGTTTCCCATTCGAGTTCCACTCGACTACCTGGCGCATGATTTTATTCAATGGTCTCCTCAGTATATTTCCAATCCATCCTTATTTCCTCCTGCACATTAGTTGGGTGACAGGTTCTGGGTTGGTTCATTGCCAGAGTTCCTCGTTACTTATCCTTTCCAGGCTGGCCATCTAATCTTCAATTTATCAAATCAGTGAAAGTAGCTGTTGGTAAAACTTTGCTGTCGGGCTGTTGGAAATGCTTTAACTGACGCTCCAAGTCTCTGAACCATATATCACTGGCTGACATAATATTAACACTGAAAATTGGGATCTTCTTTTCTCTTATGTTGGTTGAGTGCAGTAAATTTCTATAATGTGATTTCAGAGTGATGAACTCCTGTCCTGCTTTCCCGATGCTTATCGGCTTTAATGTCTTCATCGGTTCCACTTCTAGTTGCAACAATGCTTCCCAGATTAGGAAGATAAGTGATGTCTTTCAAACTTCTTCCTTTGATAGTGACTGATGCTTTTTGTTGTTGTTGTTGTTGTTCTAGTTGCTTAGAGATCTTCATCACCACTAATCTTCTCTTTTTTTGTCATGTAAAGTTTTGTCTATTCTGTTGACTTGTCGGTTTTCGCCTGTAGATCTTCGAGTAAAATTGTGTAACATTAGACCATAAATCATCCACAAGGCTCAGATATTCTATTTAAGTATTATAGTATTCACTTCATTTATGATGTCATTAAGTTCATGTAAGCTTCTTTGCACTGTTTTGTCCTATTGAAGTAATCTCAGCCCCAACGGGTTGATCTCTGACGAAATCTTCGCACGGATACAGAGGACTAGTTTCGCATATGCCAGTTTACGCCGTCTCTGACATAGATGTGATATCCGGCTATCGACCAAAGGGCGAGTGTACTGCTCAGAAGTTCGCTCCATCCCCCTTTATTACTTTGAGTGAGACCTGGCCATTGAGAGTGGAAGACACAAAAAGATTAGCTGTCTTCTACCATAGGTGTCTGCTTTCTATCTCCCGTATGAAGTGGTATAATAAGGTGAGCAATATTGAGATTAGGCGTCGGTCGAGTTCTAGGTAAGGAGGGAAATCAATCGAAGAGGCCGTGTAGTTACATCGACTGAGATGGTTAGGACATGTGTTACGTATGCCTAGTCATCGCCTTCGTCGACGAGCAGTGTTAGCTGACATAGGGTCAGGCTGAAAAAGAGCTAGCGGCGGTCAGACCAAAACATGGCTTTACCAGTCAATGAAATCCACAACAGTTAGTTTAAGCCACGTAGGAAGGTGTAGACTTCCTGAATGGCTGGGGTCCTCAGAATGGTAAAAACCAATGGCTGGGAACAATTGGTGATATGGCTCAAAATCGTTCTCAATGAATAGCGCAGATGCATCTACTCCTTGTGACTTATGATTTCCAATGAAACTATATTGTTCTTCGTTATTACTATTCCTTTGTCTCGCACCTCTGTTTACTGTCTCTATTATGCATTCCTTCTACTTTCTTCTGTTGGTTTGTGTGGTACATGGAGGGAGTGTGGCGACTTGAACTGCTGCACATCTGTGCAAAGTTCTATGTGGAAAACAGACAGACAGGTTTCTCTTACAGGCATTACGTTCTACACTGTGTGTCCTATTGAATTTATGTCTACGTAAGTCTTCTAGACTCTTCAAATTTGATACTATTTATTGAAATGTTTATCTGATAAAATATAATTTTGAGAGTACATGTGAACATAGAGAAGATGGAGATGACGAAGATAACAAACGAATCGCAAACGCAGCAACAACAACAACAACCAGCATCAATCACTATCAATGGGAGAGATTTAACAGAGGTTACCTGTTTCGCTTATCTAGGAAGCATCGTTTCAACTACAGGCCAGCGGAACAAATGAAGATGTCAAAACTAGCCAGCCAGTCATCCAGAATCGGAAAGGCAAGACAGACGCCTTCATCAAATTAATACCAGTTTGAAAATGTTCTGCACTCCACCGAGGCATAAACAACCAGATTCGGATTTTCAACACCAATGTCAAGTCGGTCATTCTATACGCGGGTCAGAATCTTTCACGAAGAAGATTTTCAACAGGTTGCAGACTTTCATCATCAGTTGTCTTCGCTCTCTTCATACTGAAGATCAAATCGTCAGCCGGATAGCCAGAATTAGCAGTAAGAAACTCTGGCTGGCTGTCAACAAACCAACAAGCAAGAGCTGATTGTTCAACAGAGATATGTAGGAGAAAATGGAGATGGATGGATCGGGCATACCTTGAGGAGATCGTCGAATGATATCGATCGCCAAGCCCTTGAGTAGTAGTGACATGGAGGGGATCGTGTGAGAAAAAAGATGATAGATTATGGGCAATCGTGGACCCAGGTGAAAAGGACAGCAGAAAATAGAAGAAAGGGGAGATGTGTGTTGTTGAAGCCCTATGTTCCACTGGGAACCCAAGGGAACAATTACAATAATAATAATAATGATAATCAACCAAGTGGGTGTACAATATCACAACTTTAACTGGAGATAGAATGCACATTTGCACTATTCGTTGTATAGGCTGTCTGTTACTTCTGATATTCCCTCGACTGTCTTTCTCTATGACCAGAGGAAGAACGTATCAGATATTCTTAGTTTTGTCATGAAAGTTTTCATACCTAACTGTGAATTATGCCTAATGTACACTTTCTTTATGCTAAAACTTCATAAAAATAATACAACTGTCGCGTACGAAAACTTTCCTGTTCCCATTTATTCTTTACAACATTTCTACATTGTATATTTTTGTGATTATTGCCGTTATAGAATTCCGAGTTGTTAGTTATATATGTAACTTTGATGACTCGTGACTCCTTCGCCACGTGAATACCTACGCAGGTATAGGAGCGCCTACTTGGCTGAAGCAATGATTAAAGATTATTGTTGATATGGCTTAAAACTGTTCTCATTGGCGCAGATGTATTCACCTCTTTGTGATCTCCTAAATCCATTAAGTCCCCATGTTTTCCCACATAGTTATCCTTTTTTCCTGTAGATCGATGCCTACCGTGATTCTTTTGATATTTTTTTTCTTTCTCTAAACTTTTGTGCGCTGTATAGAGCCTTCATCGCCTCCCTCGACGAGCAATGTTAGCGGATATAGGGTCAGGCTGGAAAAAAGCTAGCGGCGGTCAAACAAAAACTTGCCACCAGTCAATGAAATCCACAGCAGTTGGTCTAAGCCACGTAGGAAGGTGTAGACTTCCTGACTGGCTGGGGTCCTCGGGACGGTAAAAATCTATGGTTGGAAACAATTGGTGACATGGCTCAAAACCGTTCTCAGTGGCGCAGATGCATCCACTCCTTGTGACTTATAATCTCCAATGAAACTGTTTTTCTTTTTTACTCGTTTGTCTCACACCTCTGCTCACTGTTTCTATTATGCTTTTTTTCTACTTTCTTCTCTTGCTTCGCGTGCTACACGGAGTGCGGTGACTTGAACTTCCGCATATATGTGCAAAGTTCTATGTCGAAAACAGACAGACAGTATAGAGCCTTGCAAACTGAGTCGCTACACTTTTGTTTATACTTGTACGTTAATACTCAGTCAGTCAGTCAGTATCTCACAAATCTTTCTTTCTGCGTAAAAACTTAATCCAACTGCTATATATTATATTTCTTTAATGTTCACAGTACAATTTTCACTGTGAAGATGTTATCTATTTGCTTAAGCAATCATTTATTTGAACTCAGTTACAGAAAACAGGTTTCCTACGTTCCGAATCATCTGCCATACATATTGCCTGAGAACTGATGATACTATCTAGTTGCCAAGATTGAAAAAAAAGGCGAGACTGGGACTTCTTAAACCTAGGATCTTTCGACTGCAAGTCAAGTGCTTAAGGCAATAAACCCACATGTCTACACTTCAGCATGATTAAGCCTTCGACCTTCAACAAATATTCCCCTGAGTTTGACTAACTAATAACTGAAAATCAACATAGAACTTTGCACACACAAGTGTACCAGTTCAAGTTGTCACAGTCTATGTTCTACACAGATGGTAGAGAACCATAATAAACAGAAATGCACGGAAGGAAGGTTGTTAACATGGAAAACCATGTGTATTTAATGGATAGGCAAAGTCACGAAGAGTGAATGTATCTAGGCAATTGAAAACGATTTTGAGCCAATAATGTTCAATCATTGGATCTTAGAAAACTGAGGACCCCAACCAGTCACTTCTTACCTGCTTCTATGATCGACTCTAATTGTTGAAGACTTTGTGGATGGTGTCTGACCACTCCTAACTCTTCTCCAACCAAATCCTATGTCAGCTCGGGATGCGAAGCACATGTACTAGACATCTCAGTCGATACAGCCACACAACCTCATTGGTTAACTTTCCCTCCTTACCTAACACGCTAAGCATAACCTCAATATTATTATTATCACTCATCATATTATACTATTTAATGCAGAAGATGCAGCAGAAACTTCTATGGGTGGGGACAGCTAACCTTTTCATATATGTCACTTTCAACTTGTAAACTCGGTGATTCCCCCACCTTTGAATCCCACTTCACCTATTTCAGCCTACGGGCAACTACGTCAGTATAAATGCTTGGCTGATATCCCGTGACTGAGTTGGTCGACAGCCGGATATCACATCTATGTCAGAGACGGCGTAAACTGGCATATGCGAAACTAGTCCTCTGTATCCGTGCGAAGATTTCGTCAGAGATCAACCCGTTGGGGCTGAGATTACTTCAATAGGACAAAACAGTGCAAAGAAGCTTACATGAACTTAATGACATCATAAATGAAGTGAATACTATAATACTTAAATAGAATATCTGAGCCTTGTGGATGATTTATGGTCTAATGTTACACAATTTTACTCGAAGATCTACAGGCGAAAACCGACAAGTCAACAGAATAGACAAAACTTTACATGACAAAAAAGAGAAGATTAGTGGTGATGAAGATCTCTAAGCAACTAGAACAACAACAACAACAAAAAGCATCAGTCACTATCAAAGGAAGAAGTTTGAAAGACATCACTTATCTTCCTAATCTGGGAAGCATTGTTGCAACTAGAAGTGGAACCGATGAAGACATTAAAGCCGATAAGCATCGGGAAAGCAGGACAGGAGTTCATCACTCTGAAATCACATTATAGACATTTACTGCACTCAACCAACATAAGAGAAAAGAAGATCCCAATTTTCAGTGTTAATATTATGTCAGCCAGTGATATATGGTTCAGAGACTTGGAGCGTCAGTTAAAGCATTTCCAACAGCCCGACAGCAAAGTTTTACCAACAGCTACTTTCACTGATTTGATAAATTGAAGATTAGATGGCCAGCCTGGAAAGGATAAGTAACGAGGAACTCTGGCAATGAGTGATATATAAAAAAAAGTAGATTTTTCAAAAATATTTTTAGTCAATCTGTGTTTTTACCTTTAGATACAGTCGATAATGATTCTATTTCTGCTTCTAATGGACATAGACTGAATTCATCGCGTTTATCACACATCGCGTCTACTGCTTCATCAAACGATTCATTGAAACAGTCTAATTCAAAGGTATCGACGGTAAACAACAACAATAAGAATATTAATAATAAAATAATTCATACATCTGTACAAGTGAATATTGCCTCAGTTATGTATACAACACCAGTTAAACTTCCATCACCAGAATTGTTAACTATTTCACCGGATTTATTTCATATCCTGTTAGAACTTGATTATTGTTCAGCTCGATTTGAATTTGAATTTGTCAAGTGTGTTTCACGTCGAGTACGTACCCTACAAGAAGCTGATGATGTACAGGTATGTGATTGATTGCTTGATTGATTTAATCAAACTGTTATTATTATTATTGACTTTTCTTTCGTTTGCAGTAAACATTTTTGTACCGGTGCGTGTCGGTGGATCAGCAGTGGAATACCGGCCTGTCATGCACGTGGTCTGGGGTCCGACTCCCGACTGAGACACTCTTAAAGCTCACCTAGCCGGTAGTAAGTCCTGACAAAAAAGGAGAGATTGGGTGCCAGAATGGCGACCTCATCCGGTGAAAGTGATACAGGCGTTTTCTCCTTGACGTATTGATTGCGCTTGCATATCGCAGTCTGCCTGTAACTGCTCCTTTACGTCCTCCTACCATACCAGAAAGGTGGTTTCAATAGAGGTTGAACTCAAGGCAATTATCCTCATAGTGTAAGTCACTAACACTATGTTGGAGGTCTGTGGGCTAAATTGTAATGCTTACTGACAGGGATGTAACAGCAGTAAGGTGTTTCCCTCAGGTGACCAGTAGGTCAGCTGTACTGCCTCAGCTCTGGAGTCGGGAACTTGGTTAGAAAAAGTTGACTCGGGAAATCGCACATCTTGGCTTACCTTGAGAGTGATAAGATCTAAATACAGATGCACCTTCAGCAATCACTTCAGCCAACCATGTACCTGGTTATTTGTATGAAGACTGATGATACTACCCAGGATGAAGTAGATGGAGTGGGGTTCGAACTCAAGACCAATTAGTCATATGTTAAATGTTTGAGTCAATGCACCTGATCTCCACCTATAATTATTACATACACAGCATCATCGTTTGTAGACCATATCTTGTTTTTGTCTCTATAGTGACTAGCAGTGAAATCCAAGATGCCTATTTCATTCTATTTGGGACTCCTCAGCTTCAGCCACGTGACGACATTGCAAACTTAACCGACAAAACCCAGTCAACGCTAACACTGAGGACTAAACACATGATATTGGTTACTCTCTAATAATAATAATAATAATAATAATAATAATAATACTAATAATAATAATAATAGCTTTATTCCAAAAACAGTACTAATGATACAGCAAGGAATTTTCAGCATTCAGTATAATATTGCATCTAATTTACTCAAAAACGACAAAAAAATTATAAATACACATAACATAATAATAAAACGATTGTTACAGCAGCTACATAGCAAAATACTGTATGCAATACGGTACAGCTTCACAACCACATTGGTTAACTTTCCGGTACACACATGATAGTCCTACAGGAGGGGTCGGTCGTGAACCAAACTAGCTCAGCAATAACGTCTCTGACTGCGTACTGCAGGTGTGAATCAATCCCTTCGAAGTAGCAGATGCACCTTGCTGTGACTAGCTCCAAAACACACATACATGGGTCAGTTAGGATTTCCTGACGATCACCTCCAATAATCTCACATCAGTTAGGATCCAGATCAGAGGTCGTATGAATAATAATGTAAAAGTAGGATTTGATCATTATGCTAGAATATAATTCTATGTTCGATAAACTTCTCTGATATTACACACACACACACACAAAATGTTGCAGTATTATTAACTGGATGATGTTTCAGAGCACAGCGTTACCACCGCTGCTGCTAATCATATCGATATCTGAAGTATTGGTTTTGTAGGGATTTAGTTTAATTGGATGGACGATTTCATCATGAGCTGACATCAGTTAGAGAGCTACTGGAAAACCTGGGAGTACCAGACAGCTCCCTTATAGATAAGATTTTTATTTTTGATAAATCGCACAGTGTTTACAGAATCAAAAATAAAAATCTTATCTGTAATGGAATTATACTCTACCACAGTGCCCAAGTTTTATACTTATACCAGACAGCTGTTTCGTCCCGGTTTGGGACTCTTCATCAGTACCCATCCACCGCCGACAGGGATCTAACCCAGGACCTGGTTACAAGGCCAGCGAGCTCGTAGAACATTAAGCCACTGGAACCCTATCCAATAGCCAGCCCATGAATTCTAACTTCTGCCAATTCGCGATATAGCGTGACCATTTCGCCATGTCTTCTTCGATGAGTTACTGCCTCACCTTCAACCTGATGTACCCTACTGGTCACGGCTTCTCACTAGAACTCCAGGTCACTGCCTGAATAGGGGCAGTCGCTAGTGAGCATCATATTGATTTTCAAGTATTGGTTTTGTAGGGATTTAGTTTGATTTGATTTTCCAGTCTGTCTGTCTGGATTCAACATAGAACTTGACACCGAAGTGCACCAGTTCGAGTTCCCACGTTCCAAATACCACACAGAGGTAGACAAGAAGATGAGTGAAGAGAATCAATACAGTCTGACAAGTATAAGAGTGAAACAGAATGGTTAATGGTAGAAAGGAGGAATATGAAAGATTACAGAGACTGAATACATCTGAGCTGGCCATTGACAACGATTTTGAGCCATGTCACCTATTGTCTCCAGCCATTGATTCCTAGAGTCAGTCCCGAGGGCCCCAACCTGGAAGTCTGCATCTCCCTACCTGACCGACTCAGTTTAACTGTCAAGGATTTATTTCATGGATTGATGAGGCCATGTGTTTTTGTTTGGCCACCACTTACTCTTTTCCAACCTGCACCACCTATATCAGGTAGTAATGCCCGTCGGGCGGGGGGGGCGATGGTTAGGCATGCGGAGCACGCGACCTAGCCATCTCAATCTATGTAACTTAATAGCCTCGTCGATTGATTTTCCCTCTTTCCCCAACACTCTACGCCTAACGTCAACGTTAGTTACCTTATTAAACCACCTAACGTGAGAAAGAGATCGCAGACATCTATGATCAAAAACAGTCAACCTTTTCATGTCTTCAACTCGTATTGGCCATGTTTCAGAGCCATAGAGAAGGACGGAGCGAACTGCTGAGCAGTACACACGTCCCTTGGTTGATAGCCAGCCGGATATCACGCCTACGCCAGTGATGGTGTAAGTCAGCGAAAGCAGCTCGAGCTTTTTAGATCCGTGCTGAGATTTCGTCGTCAATCAGTCCGTTGGTGCTGATACAACTTCCCAAATAGGTGAAGTGGTCGACATGTTCTATCACTTCACTCCCTATCACTAAGCTAGCAGTTGACGTAGTTCAGTCCTGTAGCAGCATCTTACACTTTACAGGGGCGAATCGCATGCCAAACATACGAAGATTGCAGCTCAGCTCAAGGTGTTCAGAAGACTCTGCATTTTGTCAGCATCCTCCCCTAACAGGACTATGTCATCTAATTTTCCAGTACTCCCAGGTTTTCCAGTGGTTCTCTAACTGATGTCAGCTCATGATAGAATCCTCCGTCATATCGATATCTCTTCACACGACTTAATAACTTGCTTTATGTGTGTAGCCTTACTCCCTGCTGTCAATATGAGTTCGGTGCATCGGTTGCACAACGGTAGAATACTCATCAACCACGCCTCATTTGATCCGAGGTTCGATCCCCGGCCACGGACGCACTCCTTTGCCTCGTTCACTAAGCCAGTGATTAGACTGGTAAAGAGGGAAGGTTGGGCTAGGTGAAGCTAGCAACCCCAACTCACAAAAATAAATTCCACTGCTACAGAAACTTCAGGCCTCTAACCTGAAGCCTTATGTTCCACCATTGGGAACATAAAAGAATAATCAGAAAAAACTGTGACTTGGTAATAAATCTTTATTCCTCTTCTTCACTAATGGAGAAATTGAAGGCTTATCTGATGACTACCTACCTATTACTTGTGTAGCGTAGATTTCTGATCTGTAACAGAAGATATAACATTTATATGTGTATAACATGTCACGAGATACTTATCGTATCACAAATCAATACTTATTAGACAACCGCATCTATGCATTAGTATTACGTGCTAGTTCTGCACATGAATATTGTTTTTTCTTTATATTAAATAATTAGCATATTTGTGTGTGTATGTGTGTGTCTGTGGCCTACGTCATACTAAATATGTCAATCACATTATTTTTATGATAATATTCATACCTTATTGTTAAGTTAGTAGTGGTTAAGTGTAGTTTTTTTTCTTAAAACATCATTGTCTTTATTTGAGTGAAAGTAGTATAGAACAGAGGTACATCATATGTGTGAAACAAGAAGAATAGAACACCAGTGTCTTCAAGTATTGGTTTTGTAGGGATTTTGTTTGATTAGATGAAGGATTTCATCATGAGCTGACATCAGTTAGAGAACCACTGGAAAACCTGGGAGTACTAATGCTCACTAGCTAGTGAGGCAGTGACTTGGGGTTCTAGTGGGAAACCGTGACCAGTAGGCTACAGCGGGTTGAAGATGAGGCAGTAACTCATCGAAGGAGACATTTCGAAATAGTCGCGCTATGTTGTGAATGGGCAGGAGTTAGAATTCATGCACTGGCTGGCCATTGGATCGGGTCGCAGCAGCTCAATAGTCTATGAGCTCGCTGGCCTTGTAACCAGCAGGTCCTGGGTTCGAACCTTGGCGGCGGTGGTGGGTGAGTACTGATGAACAGTCTCAAACTAGACTGACGGAACAGCTGTCCAGTACTCCCTGACAGGTTTTCCAGTGGTCCTCTAACTGATGTCAGCTCATGATGAAATCCTCCATCCAATCAGACTAATTCTCTATAAAACCAATACTTGAAAAATAACCCAGGTGGTATGACTAACTGTCATACAATAGATGTGACCTATTGCCGACTACATGGGAGTTGATTGACCACCATATTATCAAGTCATTGAACGATAATGAAATATAGTCAAGTATTATTTTAAACACCCGCCTAACCATTATAATGTTTAAAAAGTATAATTTACTTTGAATTATATTGATCTTATTTTTGTTTATTTGCTTTTTTTGTAGATGGTAGCTGTACTCTTTTCTGAAACATTAATGTGGGGATTAACTGTAAAATTATTAACAGTACAACAATTAGCTGATCGTGATCCATGCGTTCTGTTAGCTCTACCTCGATTGAGTATCTTAGTTGGTTGTCGTTTGTTACCTGATTCACCTATCGGTGCAAATCGTTTAGCTGTGGGGTAAGTGTGAATTTTATAGTCATTAAAAAAACTGACGTACGTCACTGACGGACGATTTTAAGTCATCTCACCAACAGTCTCCAATTATTGGTTGTTAGAGTCTCAAGGCCACTCACCTGGTGGTAGTCTGCACCTTTCTGCGTAACCCAATTCCATGTCAGGTAACACTGCTAGACGAGGATGAATATGATTAAGGATACGCAACACACGTGGCCTAGCCATCTCAATTGATGTGGTCTCACAACCTTATGAATTGACTTACTCCCCCCCCTTAGCACTGAATATCACTTTGATGTGATTGTGTTCTCTGAGCTAGATAGTTAATTTGCGAAGCTTCCATCGCCCTACTAGGCGACATCTTCAGCGCATACTTCTATTTGAAGTGAGCTTTTAGATTTCTCCACAAGTTTATTAGTCATCTCTCCAGGTGGTGACCTTGAACGCCGTGATTGGTTGTTTTTGTGTGTTTTCACACCCTCTAGGCTACTTGTATTGGTATTGGTGATGATTGTTTCCTTGATTTTGACCCTTTGTGTGTGAGGTTCACACCAATGTGCAGCAGCAGTTTGGGTCGCCACACTTCACTCAGAACACAAAATCAGAGAAGAAGAAAAAAGTTAAAAGAAACGCAAAATAGAGACATTAAACAGAAATATGAGGCACAAAGAATAGCAATATCGAAGGTATTATAATTTCTATTCAACTTCATCATAGATGTGTTAATGGACTTAACCCTAGGTGACTTCAGCGACTCAGGGATTGACTTGCTACCGGGGAATAATCTCGTTGACTTGGAATATGCAGACGATATAGTCCTTCTAGGCGAAGACGCTGACGAAATGCAGAGTCTTCTAAACACCTTGAGCCGCAATCTACGAATGTTTGGCATGCGATTCGCTCCCGCCAAATGCAAGATGATGTTACAGGACTGGACTACATCGACGCCTAGTTTAAAAATAGGAAGTGAAGTGGTAGAGCACGTTGACCGCTTCACTTATTTGGGAAGTACCATCAGCCAGTACCAACGGGTTGATCTCTGACGAAATCTCAGCACGAATACAAGGGGCTCGTTTCGCATTTGTTAGTTTACGCCGACTCTGGCGTAGACGAGATGTTCGACTATCGACCAAAGGGCGGGTGTACTGCTCATCAGTCCGATCCGTCCTCCTTTATGGTTGTGAGACCTGGCCACTGAGAGTGGAAGACATGAAAAGACTAGCTGTCTTTGATCATAGGTGCCTGCGTTCTATTTCCCGTGTAAAGTGGCATAATAAGGTGAGCAACATGGAGGTTAGCCGTAGAGTTCTAGGTAAACAGGGGAAATCAATCGACGAAGTCGTGAAGCTACAAAGACTGAGATGGTTAGGACATGTGTTACGTATGCCAAGCCATCGCCTCCCTCGACGAGCAATGTTAGCGGATATAGGGTCAGGCTGGAAAAAAGCTAGCGGCGGTCAAACAAAAACTTGGCATCAGTCAATGAAATCCACAACAGTTGGTCTAAGCCACGTAGGAAGGTGTAGACTTCCTGACTGGCTGGGGTCCTCGGGACGGTAAAAATCTATGGTTGGAAACAATTGGTGACATGGCTCAAAATCGTTCTCAGTGGCGCAAATGCATCCACTCCCTGTGACTTATGATCTTCAATGAAACTGTTTTGTATTTCTTTATTACTCCTTTGTCTCACACCTCTGCTCACTGTTTCTATTATGCTTTTCTTGTACTTTCTTCTCTTGCTTCGCGTGCTACACGGAATGTGGCGACTTGAACTTCCGCACATTTGTGCAAAGTTCTATGTCGAAAACAGACAGACAGACATTATAATTCCCACAAGGAGTGGATGCATCTACGCCAGCCGATGAGAACGATTTTGAGCCATATCACCAATTGTCTCCAACTATCGGTGTTTACAGTCCCGATGACCCCAACCAGTCACGAAGTCTACATCTTCCTATGTGGCTTAAACTAACTGTTGTGGATTTGATTGACTGGTGAAGCCATGTTTTGGTTTGACCATCACTGGTTCTTTTCCAATGTGGCCCTATATCAGCTAACATTTCCCGTCAGTCGAGGAAGGCGATGACTAGGCATACGTAGCAAATGTCCTAACCATCTCAGTCTATGTAATTTCACAGCCTCGTCGATTGATTTCCCCTCCTTACCTAGCACCTGCTGAGCAGTACACACGTTCTTTGGTCGATAGCCGGATATCACGTCTACGTCAAGGACGGCGTAAACTGACATATGCCAAACTAGCCTTCTGTATCTGTGCTGCGATTTCGTCAGCTCTCAACCCGTTGGGACTGACTGATACAACTTCCCAGATAAGTGAAGCGATCACCATGCTCTATCGCTTTATTCTCTATTTCTGAGCTAGGAGTCAATGCAGTCCAGTCCAATCCTGTAGCGTCATCTTTCATTTGGAGGGAGCGAATCGCATGTCAAACATTCGCATATTGTAGCTCAAGACGTTCAGAAGGCTCAGTGTAACAACAGAAGACAAGGGCGAAGCAACAGATCGTTTTATTATGAAAATCAACACGTATTTATATATATTTCACATACATTATTATAGCTTATGCAAGTAGAAAAAGCACAGTCATCTGATTGGTTGCAGACAAACGCAGGCTTCTGATTGGTTGTTTCGGGATTCCTTGACAAATAGAGTTCTCTATCTGCGAATCATATTTTGCCACGTTAACTTTGCTGTGATTGGTTGTTGAATCAGCCTTGTTCATATTTTCTCACGGCCCATATTAGTGACCTAGACATTAACGTAGATTAGTGTCAACCAATCGGCTAGCAGCCTGCTCTCACCACAATTGGTTGTTGAATCAGCCTTGTTCATATTTTCTCACGGCCCATATTAGTGACCTAGACATTAACGTAGATTAGTGTCAACCAATCGGCTAGCAGCCTGCTCTCACTACATCAGTATTTTTTTTCAGCGTCCTCATCTAGAAGGATTATATCATCTGGATATTCTAAGTCTGAGTCAACGAGATTATACCCTGGTAACAAGTCAATCCGTGAGTGTCTGAAGTCAGCGACAATATCTATCCACACATCCAGTTTGCTGGACCCCAACCCGTTATGAGTTTCAGTCAGAACTCCAGAAAGGCCATCTCATTGGTACTCACTAATGACTAGTGAAACTTTTGTGAGGAACTGGTCTACCGCATGAAGGAAATAAATAGGAGTTACCCGATAAAAGCTATGAATGCATGGCCACATGAGAGCATTTCGAGAGAGAGAGAGAGAGAGACTGGAGTCCACCCACCAAATGGTCGTACCAGGTTGTTAATAGGAACGAAGTAATAATTTATGGTCCAGAAGCATCAGTGAATGCCAATAAATAAAGTCAGTAATATTAATAAAATACTTCAATATAGCGAAAATATTGATTCAAACATTCGGAAGAAAATTAAGAGAAGAATATCCTTTTCGATAATCTCCTCTTTTGGCTCTACAATTCTATATATGTATATATTCTAGAACAGTCGTCACTGACCATATTATTATTATTACTCCCTTGGGTGCCTAGTGGAATATAGGGCTTCAACTGCACGTCTCCATTTGCTTCTGTCTTCTGCTGTACTTTTCGCCTGCATCCATGTTAGTCCATATTCTTTCAACTCCTCTTCACACGATCTGCTCCATGTCACCCTTGGACGTCCCACACGCCGCTTCCCTTTCGGGTTCCACTCGAGGGCTTGACGCGCGATGTCACCCAGCGGTCTCCTCAGCGAGTGTCCGATCCATCTCTACTTTCTCCTGCATATTTGTTGGGCGATTGGTTCTTGCATTGTTTGTTCCCATAATTGGTGTTTTTAAATACTATCGATTTATTAAGTAAGATCAATTGAATTACAGCTCAAGAAAGACGCTTAAGTTATATTAAGCATAAAAGTGTAATAGCAAATAGAATATCAAATAAAACCAAGGAGACGTCTACAGAAAATTAAGGATCATTAAACTTCCACGGTGTGGGCAGCCGGGAAGTACCAAACGCCCTCACAATCCGAAATGCACACAAAACCTCTCTAATCCTCACTTATCTTTGTCTTCATCTTCATCTCTATTACCTTGCCTTCCTCCCACTGATGCAACTCCTCTACTTGGTGGCTCCTCACTCCCTCTTCACTGTGTCCACTAAAAACAACAGAAGCCAAAAAACCACCGATCTCTGGCGTAGGCGTGACATCCGGCCATCAACCAAGGGACGTGTGTACTGCTCATCAGTTCGCTCCGTCCTTCTCTATGACTCTGAAACATGGCCAATATGAGTTGAAGACATGAAAAGGTTGACTGTTTTCGATCATAGATGTCTGAGATCTCTGTCTCACGTTAGGTGGTTTAATAAGGTAACTAATGTTGACGTTAGGCGTAGAGTGTTGGGGAAAGAGGGAAAATCAATCGACGAGGCTATTAAGTTACATAGATTGAGATGGCTAGGTCGGGCACGTGCTCCGCATGCCTAACCATCGCCCCCCCCCCGCCCGACGGGCATTACTACCTGATATAGGTGGTGCAGGTTGGAAAAGAGTAAGTAGTGGTCAAACAAAAACATGGCCTCATCAATCCATGAAATAAATCCTTGACAGTCAAACTGAGTCGGTCAGGTAGGGAGATGCAGACTTCCGTCCGGGTTGGGGGCCTCGGGACTGACTCTAAGAATCAATGGCTGGAGACAATCGGTGACATGGCTGAAAATCGTTGTCAATGGCCAGCTCAGATGTATTCAGTCTCTATAATCTTTCCTATTCCTCCTTTCTACCATTACCCATTCTGTTTCACTCTTATACTTGTCAGACTGTATTGATTCTCTCCACTCATCTTCTTGTCTACCTCTGTGTGGTATTTGGAACGTGGCAACTCGAACTGGTGTACTTCGGTGTCAAGTTCTATGTTGAATCCAGACAGACAGACAGTGAAACTTGAGTTCTCGTATGTCCAGGACTACTTAGTTTTGCACTGGTTCTCTAACTGATATCAGTGTGAGCTCTTGATATATCGTCTATTGTGTAGAACAATCAACCCATATTATTATATCATATATTAGACCACCTTTTTTCTTCATTTTATTCTCTTTTTCTTTTTCTCTTCTTAGCCAACGTTTACCGTTTATGTTCAGTTCATCACGTTCTGAGTTAGCCTATCTCTGTAGACAGTTGTATGCCCTACGACCAGATCAATTATGCCGGCTAGCTAGATGGCTTGGACCAAATGGATTACCAAATTTAATATATGATCAAAAAATATCCACTAAACTATCATCACATATTGAGCAGGAGGAGGAGAAGGAGGAGGAGGCAGCGGCAAATTTAAACACAACAACATCTAATGCAAAAGAAACAGTAGGAAATGTCATTAATACAACACATGGTTCTCAGCAAACTTTATCCTCTCTGTCACCACCACCGCCACCACCACCACCACTGACAAGTGGTTCATTGCCGAGGAATTTTCTCGGTACATTCTATCAAAAAACTCATGTGTGGAAAACTTATCTGCCTGGATTACATCGTTTATATAAGTGTATTTCATCTGTGGCTGACCAGTTCGCTAGAGAATATCCAACAGAATTACGATTTATCTTACAGGTATGTCACTAGTAATCATTGATTATTACTATTATTACTACTATTATTATTTATTTGTTTGTTTGTTTGGTGACGGAGGGCAGTCTAATCCAGGTGGTGACATGCGTCGTAGTAACTTGGGGACTGACTATTCAGTGGCATAGTGGTTAGTGGTTGGACATTTGAAGCGATGGCTATAGCTGGTTCGAGTGTCTGTGGGAAAATCGCTACTTACTTACAAGGATGGCATATACATGCAGCTGACAGGTTCCAGAAGGGACGAAACGCATGTCGACTACTACTAGACAAGTAGAAAACAGAAAGATTGAGCTAAGAAGTATTTGAAACTAATAAAGAGGTAAGAAAATAGACTTGGGTCAACGACGAATTCGTCATCACATTAAACCTTCCTTGGTAAATTTTGTTTTGATACCATAGCAGATGTACCATTACCTCTGGTATTTGGTTTAGTGGTCTTCATTGTTATTTTGACCTTGAATATGTCCTTTTAACTTGAAAAATATTTATTTTTCAATTAGATCCTCATCTCTGGCTCTACTCTAATATACATGTATAGCATTTTTTTATTACAATACACAATAATTTACCAATCAACAAGGCACTGATATGTTTTCAAGTGTTTGTTAACAATAATTAGTCAGTGTCAACTTGTCACTGGGGTGATAAGAATTAACGAAGGAAACTAATACACACACAGTTAAAAGGTGGAAATGTTTACAACACGTGGATTGCATAATGCATAATTTTGGAAAAATAAGACGGTTTGGACAGTGGTAACTTGTAACTAAGGCTGAAGAGGTCAGAAAAAGTAATAATTTGGACAATTATATTTTTTAAAGGTTTAGGGAGAGGGCGAAGTAGTCCGGTTTATGTATTCATATAACGATGACCAAGGTAAGAAAAATGGCTGTACAAATTTCTTTTGAACACAAACTTTTCACTTCTTCAGCTGGATTCCTATTGCTTCAGCTGTTTATAGAAGAACTCGTACAGCGAAATTAAGATTAGTAATTTAATTTGATTTTTCCTTCAAGTTCCCATTGGAACATAGGGCTTTGAGCTAGTGGCTTAAAGTTTCTGTAGCAGTGTTTATTTTTACAGGATGGGGTTGCTAGCCTCATGCCCAACCTTTCCTCTTTACCAGCATTATTTTGGCTTAGCGAGGTAAAGGAGTACGTCCGTGGCCGGGGATCGAACCTCGGACCCTGTGCATGGTCGGCAAACATCCTAACCGCTGTGCCACCGACGCACTTAAGATTAGTAGGAATGCGATAAATGGTTTTAAATGTTGTATTAACGTCAACCTTATGCTCACTGTCTACAAGGTGTGCTAAAATAGAGCTACGCATAGATCTCGTTTGTCCCTTGCTTAAACACACTATGCAGGATCATGTTCGGAAATACGATGATGAACCTGCTTAATTATACACCCGATGTAGCTGGCTTCGCAGCTACAGTCAGACTGGCAGATACACGCAGAGGAGTCAACTTTAGGTAGTTTATCCTTATTTCTCGAACGTAAAATAGGTGGGGGTAGTTGTGAAGAGACAACGTACCTCTGCTGCATAATAAGCTCTTTTAACTGCATTCTTCAGTCGTTGTGTTATTATTTCGCTGATGTTATCACCGAAGAATTGCAGTTTTATGAACAGTGGTTTTTTCGGAACTGTGTTGGCATACTGACTCTCAACCTCTACACACGCTTGCTGCTCAATTACTACTCCTGATTTTTCCAAAATTATGCATTATGCAATCCACGTGTTGTAACCATTTCCACCTTTTAATTGTGTGTGCGTATTAATTTCCTTCGTTAATTCTTATCACCCTATTGACACGTTGACACTGTCTAATTATTGTTAACAAACACTTGAAAACATATCAGTGCCTTGTTGATTGATAAATTATTATGTATTGTAATAAAAGTTGCTATACATGTATATTAGAGTAGAGCCAGAGATGAGGATCTAATTGAAAAGTAAATATTTGTTCACTCAATATCTTTCTATTTTCTAAATGTCTAAATGGGGATTTTTTTCTATACTAGATAAGTATCGTCGACTTATTAGTCCTGGAAGCATCCGTCGCAGAAACCTGTAGGTCGACATGAAGTTCGGTCCTTTATGAACTTTTGAACTATTAAGTCAGTTGTATACACTTGTTGCTTGTTGAACTTGATGAAATGAAAATCTAAGTGGAGCGGGGAACTGGGACTAGCAGTCTATACGCTAAGCTATGAAACCGAAATACCAGTTGACTGATATGTCTAGCCGGATACTACTCACACCAGCCAGTAGTGCTTGCCAGCTAACCAGATTGATGTGACACTGGACGGCTATTTCGCTGGGTTGGATCCGGACTCATCAACTATAGTGTACTCTGTTTGACTCAGCCCAAATAACCAAATTCTGGTGCGCTAAATCTGGTTGGTTTCAAACGATTCAACTCTGTGAGCTGAGTTAAACAGGGTATGTACCGTTGATGAGCTCTACCCAAAATGAACGAAACAGCTTTCTAGTATTTATGTCATTTCAGTCTGGCTGACTGGCTAGCAAGAATTACTGGTCGATGGGAGTGATATCCAACCTGCTATATCTAGGTAGCACTATGTAGCATGCTGTATCTACTAGCTGTTTTACGAAATATTATTTTGGAAATATGATTACTCATTGGCTTAAGTGTGTTCGATCGCGAGTTCGAATCCGGTCCCAGTTACCTTCAGTCTAAGGCCAACTGGATAGTATTATCGTCTCTCAGCCACCGTATGAGGCTCATAGCCTGGTACGCTAAAAAATCTGTCCTATGTAAATGAACAGTAACAACATTGACAATAACGAAATGTTATCTAACTGACTGCAATGGTGGTTCCGGGTTCGAATCCCGCTGTACCTGCTTCAGCCCGGAGAGACGATTGTGTAGCATTACCAGCTGTCGTACACACAGTATATGTTAGTTTCATTGTCTGGTAAATGAAAATTCTGTCGTATTGATGTAAAGGACCCTTTGAATCTCAATTTTGTTGGCAATTAGCCAACACATATCTATTGTGTAATGGAGGTAGGTGGAGCATATCTTGAACACCTGTGTTTGGAAGTCTGTTGAAAGGTTTTCCCGGATATGTTATATATTATTGCTACTATTATTAAAACACAAACTTCATACGTTATGGGCACCAAGAGATGCGCCACACAAATTATTGTCTCGGTTTGTGAGAGGGCTGGGATACTGTTCTTGAGCCCAGACCCCTAAGCAAGTAGTTACCTTAAGGGATCACTCCCCGAGCATCTGACTTGAAGTCGTATCCACACAATGCAGTGAAGCTGCGTTCCCATCGTTGTGGATGATCAAAGCAGACCCCTTCACCATTCGATCCTTTCATATTCTGAAGCTCATATGTTTGGAATTGGGGATTTTCAGCTCCCTAATGTAGACACAAGTACGTCCGCCAATTTGGTTTTGGGGCGCCAGACGTTCAAGTTATCTTCTCCACTTTTGTGAGCAACACTCGCATCATAAGAAGGCAATGAACAAGACTTACTTCGTAGAGGTTAGGAACGCGTGGCCGCATGAGAGAGCATTCAGAGAGGAAGGCTAAAGTCCAACTGTCCTAGGTCGTGCCGGGTCGTTTATGGGTGACTGAGTTCTTCGTGGGTTTCATTTGCGAATCCATGAAACTACTGTCAGTATATTAATAACAATAGTAATAATTCTATAATAATTTTCAACTAATTAACCATTGAAAACCCTAATGATTACTAGAAAAATTAATCAATAGGTCAATAAGTTTTCCAAAATTTCAATCAATAATCGAATCACGGCTTACAATGTTTACTCTAACAACTAGTTTCTGAATTTATTCTGTTTACCTTATATGAAGTTCTACGAATACATAATCCAGTTGAACTACAAGAATATAGTTTCTCTAGGCAACAAAAACAATGGAAAAAAGTACAGTTTTTGTTGTATAGTTTATTTTTATTAACTTATTCCCCCTTTCATGTGATATTTTTTCTGTGTGTAGATCGGCAGTGACCATAATCAGCTGATGATTGGCCCTTGTGTGTGTGTGTGTGTCAACAAACTGAAATCTATCAATCAGACGACATGTAAGTCGCCTACACTAGATTAGCAGCCTAACCGCTACGCAGATGCCGAATGACCAACAAGCCTGACCTCGTAATCTGAAGGTCTTGGGTTTGAGGTTTGATAAGGTCACAGGTGTGCACTGATGACGAGTCACAAAATTAAGACGAAACAGGTGTTCAATAGTCGCTGTGGGTTTTTCAGTGATGTTTCGGTTCGTGATCAAGTCTACGTTGAAATTAATCCAAATAGCTAGAAAAACACATTATTTTATCCGTATTATTCCCTTGGGTTCTGAGTGGAACATAGAGCTTCTACAACACATCTCTACTTTGCTCTATTTGCTGCTGTCCTCTTCAAACGGGTCCACGACTGCGCATAATCTCTGATCTCCTCTATGTCACCCTTGGACTGACGACCCACTTGAGCAGTGTCCTGGTTAACTCGCGATGTCATTCGATGGCCTTCTCAACGTATGCCTGATCCATCCATCTCCACTTTCTTCTACATGTTTGTTGCGCTTTTAGCTCTTGGTTGGTTTGTTCCCAGTCAGCCAGAGTTTCTTGTTGCTAATTCTGGCTCTCCGGCTGACCATTTGATCTTCAGTGTGGAGCCAGCGGCACGCATTGCAAGTTTCCGACCTATACGGAAGAAGTGACTGAGTTGACATTTGTGTTGAAAATCTGAATCTTTTTGTTTATGCTGAGGCGGAGTGCAGAAGATTTCCAAAGTGGTTTCAGGTTGATGGAGGCGTATGTATCTCGCCTATTCAGAATGGCTTTGATATCTTCATCCTTCCCGCCGGTCTGCAGTTGAAACCGAGCTTCACAGCCAGATAAGTGAAGGTGATGGTGATTAGTGCTGGTTGTTGTTGTTGCTTGGTTACCTTCATCACCGTGTTCTCTATGCTCACCTGCAGTCCTGTCTTCGCTGCCTGTCTGCCTGTCTCTTCTGCCAGTTTGTTGCTGTTTGCCTGCGACTCTTCAAGTTTTTGTGTGTGACATTAAACATAAATCATCCACCCAGGCGTGTGAAATTCAGATCCTCTTGAGTTTTCCAACGTATTCCTCTCTGCTCACTTCATGTCCACAGTCTTCCGCATATTCCTGTCCACCACAATTAAGAATATATCATTGTTGGTGTGTGTGTAATAGGCAGCCAGCCAGCCGTCCTTTTCTTACTCTTACTTCTGTATTCACTTCGAACGCCTCACTCACTGGGTTTTCGCGTTGTAGATCACCACCTAACACTGATACTGTCATATAGCTAGCCAGCTGTTGAATCCATAATCTAAATATATTTTGTTTATTTGCTGTCTATATTTACTTCCAGAAAGTTATAGAAATGCATGATACCAGTAGTGAAGTCGATGCAGAATCATCTAATTCCAATAATGAAAATCCAAATGGTGAAGAAGAAGATGACGAAATACGCAGACAAGTGGAAGATGACGACAACAGCAGCAACAAGGGAGAAAGTGGTGGTGATGTTGACGATGGAGAAACTGAACTTGAAGAAGAAATAGAATTCAATCCATTCCATATGATAACTATGAATGAAAGAAAAATACAAGATTTAGCTAATCTATTCAATTGGAATAAAGTTATGCAATTCAACAAGACGACTACATCATGTCAACAAAAAGACCATCACAACCACCCCCACCAACACAACAAACAACAACACCAACAAGAAGGACAACAAGCAAACTTGAATCAATTATTCAAGGAGTATAGTTTACATTTTCGAAAATACGCTAACAGCAGTATTGTTGATAAATGCATGAATTCTATGGAATCCTCTAGTCGCTGTTCAGCGAAATCATCTGATTGTTGGCTACAAAAATGTACTACTACTACTACTTCGGCTGCTGCTGCTGCCGGCACTCCTCGCCATGATGACACCAGTATTTCAGCATTACGTAACAATAGTATTTCATCCAGTATAGAGGATAGTGTTATTCTGGTTGCTGATGAAATTGGTTTAGATGTAGCAGCGTGTTTAAATCATGATGATAGTGATTTTGAAAGATTAACTGAACTGGGTGATAATTCTAAGTTGAAGCCAACTTCTCCTGTAAAGAATAATAAGAATAATAGTAATGACAATACTCATAATCAATCGAGTAAGTTTTTTTTTCCACATTCGTTACTTGTTTATCGATTGGAACATAAATCTCTCTATTGTATTGTATTTACAAGCTTTTATTTCCTCCTCGTATGATTTTCTCCTTATCACCCGTTTTTTGTATTGGGGTTCCACCCGACCAACTCAGCGTATGATCACTCCATCTCCATTTATTTGTGTATTTCTGTTGTTCAATAGCTTGGTGACTAGTTTCTCCTGCTGGTTAGAATTCCTCAAGCTTCCTGCCTAGTTATCTGGTCTTCAGCGAAAGCATCAGGCCTAACGGGTTGATCGCTGACGAAATCTCAGCATGGATAGAGAAGGCTCGTTTCGCATCTCTGGCATAAACGTGATATCCGGATGGCTATCGAGCAAAGGATGTGTGTACTGCTCAGAAGTCCGCTCCGTCCTCCTTCATGGCTCTCAATGAGACTTGGCTATTGAGAGCGAAAGATATGAAGAGTCTGGCTAGCTAGTTGTCTTTGATCATATGTGTCTGCGTTCTGTCTCCCGTATACGTTAGGTCGCATAATAAGGTGAGTAATATTGGGGTTAGGCATCAGTAGAGTGAGTGCTAGGTAGGTGGGAGGGAAAATCAATCGACGAGGCTGTAAAGTTACATAGATTGAGATGGCTAGGTCGCGTGCTCCGCATGCCTAACCATCGCCTCCCCCGCCCGACGGGCATTACTACCTGATATAGGTGGTGCAGGTTGGAAAAGAGTAAGTGGTGGCCAAACAAAAACATGGCCTCATCAATCCATGAAATAAATCCTTGACAGTCAAACTGAGTCGGTCAGGTAGGGAGATGCAGACTTCCGTCCGGGTTGGGGCCCTCGGGACTGACTCTAGGAATCAATGGCTGGAGACAACAGGTGACAGGGCTCAAAATCGTTGTCAATGGCCAGCTCAGATGTATTCAGTCTCTATAATCTTTCATATTTCTTTCTACCATTACCCATTCTGTTTCACTCTTATACTTGTCAGACTGTATTGATTCTCTTCAGTTATCTTCTTGTCTACCTCTGTGTGGTATTTGGAACGTGGCAACTCGAACTGGTGCACTACGGTGCCAAGTTCTATATTGAATCCAGACAGACAACTGGCATTTTTATTCAGCTTAGCAACTATTTATAACCTTTCGTTCTTTCCTCACATGATCTCCTTCATGTCACCGTCAGACACTCAACCCGTTGCTTTCCCACTTCCTTCTGAATATTTATTGGTTAATAGGTTGTTGCCCGGTTTACCGGCTGCTAGAATTCCTTGCTCCTTATGCTTTCTAGCTGTTCATCTGACTGACTGACTAGTGTTCAGTATCGACCAAAGGCAGCTGCTGAGGAAAGTCTGCAACAGTCTGTTGGAAGTACACGCGAAGTCTATGAACCATATTTAGAAACATTAACTTGACATTAGTGTTCAAAATTAGGATCTTGTTCCTTTATATAATAATCGCTGTAGATTTCCAGACCGATTTTAGAGTATGTCTTACTTTCTCTATTTGGTCCTACCTGGTTTTGATATTCTTATTCTTGCCGCCTGTAGGCTCGATGAAGTTCTTGATTTTATATAATATTATGGGTTAATTAGAATGATTGTGTATTATTGCGAGTTAGAATCCCGCTTCACCTAGAGAGGTGTTTATAGCAGCTAACGGAAAATATGGTATGATATAAGGCGGGGAAACTCATTTTCCATTCTGAACTATAATCACTCATTTCTTGAAATTATAGACTTTGATGCCATATTATGTAATGATGACGGTGATTTGATTTCAGACATGTTTAAATCGATGTTCTATGTATAGTCACACTCTGCATAACTTAGTAAAAGCTGTGTTGCAGATCCACTTTGTTGATGAAAACAGAATAAACCTCCGCCTACCTTCGTTTAGTTTCTAACACTTACGCTGCTTACTTTCTCGCCTATATATATATAAACAAAATAAGCAAAATAAATAAATGTCTATCCCTCTACGGCCAAGGCAGAAGTTGGGATTATACATATACAAAGGTCTGGCTTAAATTCATAAATGGCCAAGGCCTCCGCTGTCTTGAGAAGTTTATAACGAAGTGAACGCTTCAAGTCAGCACGGGTTCGATAGATGAACTTAAAACCATGGCCTGACCGACTGACTGATTTCAGCATAGAACTTTCCACCGATGTGAAGCAGCAGTTCGAGTCGCCACACTTCATTCAGCACACAAAGCCAGAGAAAAAAGTAAAAGTAAATTCAAAATAGAGACAGTGGATAGGGATATGAGGTAAAAAGAATAGTAATATGGAAGAACCATATAGTTTCATTGTATAATCTAATTCGCGCCAGTCATTGGGAACGATTTTGAGCCATATCACTAACTGTCTCCAACCATTGGTGTGTACCGTCCTGATGACCCCAACCAGTAGCGAAGTCTACACCTCCTTACGTGGCTGGCTGGTTGGCTTAAACTAACTGTTGTGGATTTCATTGAATGATGAAGCCATGCTTCGGTTTGATCACCACTAGCTAGCTCTTTTCCAACCTGATCCACCCTTTGTCAGTCAGCTAACATTCCCTGTCGGTCAAGGAAGGCGATCAGTGGCTAAGCACGCATTCGTAACACATGTCTTTACCATCTCTCTCAATCGATGTAACTTCACAGCCTCGTCGATTGATTTCCCCTCCTTACCTAGAACTTGACTGAAGCCTAATTTCAATATTGCTCATCTAATTATACCATCTCACACAGGAGATAGAACGCAGGCACCTATGATCGAGGAGAGCTAAGTTCATGTCTCCTTCATGGCCATAAAGGAGGACGGAGCGGATCGCTGAGCGAAACACATGCCCTTTGGTTGATAGCCGGATTAAAATAACAGCCAGGGTTGGTACAGTGACAGGAGTTCATCAAGTGTTCTAGAATAGAGCTTCGTGCACCCTTATATATATATATATATATATATATATATATATATATATCATGCACTGTGATTTAATTCAGAGGGAATTACAGTTGACAGAAGGCTTAAAATACTTGAATTGCCCTGATTTATTCGTCGACTATTCTTATCGGCTAGTAAATCTGTATTTCGTTTTAATTTTGTCCGATACACTATTACTGGGTGTGTGTGCGTTTTTGTAAATACTTATTCTGTAACAAATCTCTACCATTCTAAAACATTCGAAATCGATTGGCATAAGTTGTTTTTTTGGATAACAACTTTCGTGTCATTTGTTACGGCACATATAATAACCTTTAAGCATCCAGACAGTAATCTTGCTTACTCGTAATTTTTCACGTGCAATACATTTCACTTCCGGTTGAGATTGTATTTAGAATTGATTTGATTTCGTGAAAAACTGATCGTATATTTTCTGAGGAATAGTTGTTAATAAGGTTCAAAACACACATACACACACGGAATATTCAGGGGGGCGTCTTCGTGTGCTTTTGGATGTGTTTGTGTGTGGCCGGTTGTTACTTCCTGGCTCCCCATACCGTGGAAGTTGATTTATTCTTGCGTTACCTGAAACAGAATTAGTTTTGCACGACCACAGAGCCCAGGGGACAGTTGCTTGATGCTGGTCTGAAGTGGCTTTCTGGTTTGGTTCCGTATCAGTAACTTACCGCCGGTTACGGACCACGTAGGGTAAATCGGGATGTTCAGTTTTTTGGGTCGACCTTTTCTAATCCTCTCTTTGCAGAGTGGAGAGACAGCATAGCTGTCGTTCTGGTCATCTGAGGGTAACACCTTACCGCTGTTACATCCCTGTTCCCCAGCAGCAGTACGATTTTACCCGCAACCCCCTGGTATAGTGTTAAAAAATATCTTACAGGCAAAGTTAAACTTTGAGCACGATTAACTGCTAATCAGCGAATGACCCTGAAAGCACCGATCACATAAAGCAGACAATTTTGTTTATGAAAAACATATATTTATGAAAAAATGTATAAAAATGTTGCATATGATAACTTTCTCTGACATGTGATAAAATCATCTCCCAGTTTAGCATAGGAGTATCAATTGAACAGTTATACCACATCTGATACGTATTCATCTAAATGACTATAAATGATATACTTTTGAGATCCATTAATGCCCCTTATCCTGTTTTAACTGATGTGTGTCCCTATAATGGGATTCACAAAATCATTAGAATGGTTCACTGTGTGGTGAATATATCCAAGGGACGACAGGAAGTTATAACCTTTTCACTCATACACGTGTACGATGACACCTTCTCCTGCTAATAACGAAGTAATTCTCTCCATTTTCCACGATGTGATATCTCTGTAGTGCTGGTACCGCTGAAATGTTGATAGGAGACTATTTTCTCTCTTCCAGCGGCTACATCTGTCACAGGCTGTTTTAAAACCCAGTGGTTACAAATATCCAAAATCTGAGTTAAGGATAAGTGGGACCTGGCAACAAATGTTTCTACGAAATATTAGAATCATCAGCTTACCATCTTTGACACTTGATTCCAATCGAGCGGAATAGAGCCTTCAACTCACATGGGTGAAGTCGATTAGACCATTCAAGGTCATTCACTGGTTGGCAATTAGTGGCGCTTTTTGTCTAATCGTTATCCTAACAATCTTCCTGGTATGGTAGGACCTGTAGGAACATTAGTTCTCCAGCATTGTTAGCTTGTTGGATCATTGCGATATGCAAGCCCGGTGACCACCGCGTCAAGGTAGCAGCTATCAGTCGGTTCAAAGCTCACGCACACACACACACACACACTTTTTCTGCTGTATCGTTTGAATCACACTTAGGGTTGAGTTAGGTTAGAGTGTATGATTGATATTCACGGATAAACTGAGTTTCAACGTAGAGCATTGCATAAAAGTGCTTCACCAGTTCAAGTGTGCTGCCACACTCTATTTAGTACAATACAAGGATAGACAAAGAATTAAAAACAGAGATTCGAAAGCAATACTAACGTTAGGCTTCAGTTGAGTGCTAGGTAAGGAAGGGAAATCAATCGACTGAGATGGTTAGGGCATGTGTTACGCGACACGTGCATACCTGGCCACCGCCTTCCTCGGCGGACAATGTTAGGTGATATAGGGTCAAGCTGGAAAACAGGTAGCGGCGGTCAAACCAAAAATTGGCTGCATCAGTCAATGAAATCCACAACAATTAGCCAGCCACATAGGGAGGCGTAGACTTCCGGACTGATTGGGATCCTCAGGACGGTAAAAACCAATAAAGGCTGAAGACAATTGGTGATATGGCTAGCTCGAAATCGTTCTCAATGGCTGGCGCAGATGTATCCACTCTTTGTGACTTATAATGTGTGACCCAGTGAAACTATATTACTCTTCGTTATTACTGTTCCTTTTGTCTCATATCCCTATCTGCTGTCTCTATTTTGCATTCCTTCTACTTCTTTCCCTGGCTTTATGTGCTATATGGAGGGAGTGTGGCGACTTGAAGTGCTGCACATCGGTGCAAAGTTCTATTTCGAAAATAGACAGATAAATCGAAAAAACTATAATCAATAGAAATATAGAGAAGTACGAATAGTAACACGAGAGTTTAGGGATACAGGAGATAACTGAGTGACTGTCTCCGTGTTGTTGTGAATGATTTTCAAGAACGCTACCAACATTCTCATACTCCATCAGTTCTTAGCGTCTCTAGGTGTCTCAAAATCAACAATCAAAGACTACAAGGATTGTAGACGTGTTTTTTGTTTTAATTTCACCATCCCTGGATTTTTTTTCAACATAATCCTTTGTTAGCTAACATCATTCGATGAAAAAAGTGATGGCTGCGCATATGTAACAAGTGTCCTTGCCGTGTGAATCGATGTAGCTTCACAACCTCATCGACTAACTTCCCGTCTCCTCCCTTATTTAACACTAATACGTTTAACTTCAATATTACTCACGATATTATACCAGATAACACAAAAGACAGAACACAAATGACTGTGGTCAAAGACAAATAGTCATTCCATGTCTTCCACTGTTAATGACCATGTCTCACAGTCATAAAGGACGGAGCGAACTGTGGAGCAGTTTACATGTCCCTTGGTCGACAGCCACAAATACTGTTTGGAATAAAGCTATTATTATTATTATTATATCACATCTACTCCAGAGGTGATGTAAATTAACGAACGCCACAGAAGCCTTTTTTTATTTGTGTTGAGATTTTGTCAGTAACTAGTTGTTTTTTCCATTGGTGGGACTTCGTAAATAATTGAAGTGGTGTTTTTCAATGATGTTTATTTCCTTCACGTTCCCAGTGGAACATACGGCCTCAAGCTAGTGGCTTAAAGTTTCTCTAGTAGTGTTTAATTTTACAGGATGGGGTTGCTAGCCTCATGCCAAATTTTTCCTCTTCACCAGCATTATTTCTGGCTTAGCGAGGTAAGGGAGTACGTCCGTGGCCGGGGATCGAACCCCGGACCCTGTGCATGGTCGGCGAGCGTCCTAACTGCTGTGCCACCGACGCACTTTCAGTGATGTGCCTAAGTGGTTTTATCTCGTGGTGAAATCTTCAATAAACAATGAAGATCGAATTGAATTTTAGATTTTCCCGTCGATTAATTGATTGGACTGGAGTGCTCGAACTCAGGTTGACATGTCGGCTTCTCTGGTGCAGATGCTTCGACGATGTCTGGGCATGTAATTAGAATTTAATTGGTGGGTGGTGACTAGCAGTGGAATCCGGGATGCGCATTGGCAGGTGAAATTATGGGTACTGGGTTCGACCCTCAGTGGGAACATCAACACTCACTGGGGAATGCAGGTGCACCCGGATGACGAGTCCCAAATAGGATGAAATGCGCGTTATCTTGAATTCCACTGCTAGTCACCATCCACCAATTAAGCAATGAAGATGTAGATTTCGAGTGTGACGAAAAGTCAATACATCTACGATATTGTGAACAATTTTTACCTGAAACACCGAAACACTTTTATCATTGATTCCAAACATCCTCAAGGCTTTAGTCATGTATCTCAAATCAACAGTCATAGGCTTCTTTTTTGAGTACATAAATTACATAATCGTTAAGTAGCGTACATTAAATCTCTGAGCCGTAGGCTGTTCCATGATTTTATGTTTTGAATATTCAGACAGGTCTTTTGCATTCCTGTTAATAACATGATAGTAATCGACTCATAACGACGGATATAACTCCCCCTATATGTGACGCAATCATCATGTCCTGTGTCATTTATATTGCATCTTACAGGGATGAAATGCTTAAGACGCAAATCATCTCAAAAGTTTTTTTTACACACGACTTATTCCTACGATTACAGTTTACCTAATATCTTTGATTAACAGAATTTTGTTGTTCATCTGTCTAGATTCAACGAGCTATTTTACATCATAGCGCTTTGTACATTTTGTTAGGTAGATGAAGTGTAACCTCCTCGGAAATACACATACCTCATTATGCAGCTCGTTAAACAAAAGTTGTAATTTCGTCTCCTTTAAACCAGTGACTTTAGTTTAGCCACCTGTTGGTGACACAGCGGTTAGGACTCTCGCCGACCATACACATGGTCCGGTGTTCAATCCCCTGCCAACGCATACCTGATATCAATGATCGGCCTATAAAATTCATATGCTCAAAATTCCATACTTGTACCAAAAAGACGATGTGGAACCAAGCTATAATTAAAAAAAACAAAAATCCCATCCTAGCTACGGAAAAAATTACTGATAGATGAGGCAGCAACAAATACTACACTGATCAGTTGATTAATATGATCGGTTGGATAGATCACTGACGCGCATCAGTCATTCAGTAATACCCCCAATAGACATATCGAAAAAGTGGCCTAAACCACTGAACACGTCTCAGCACTAAAATAGAATTTAATACTAATTATTGTTAATTTTGAATAATTCTACCATTTCTTCTTATTGTGTTCTCCATATTATATAGGTACATTTACACAAAGGCTGCAATTATTAAATTTAGGCTCACCAATTGAGGGAATACAAAATCTAAATGATTCCCTCCTATTCAATTATTTACCCACTTGGCAACCGGATTCTCCCACATCCTCATCATCATATCGAGCTGTTTTCGGCAATCGATCAAAGCTTGAAACTGACGAAGACAATAATTCTGTACAATTCACAGATGATGATATCATTGATGATGGCACAGATGATACTGATGATTATCAATTTGATTATGTAGTTGGACGTCAATGTGCAACGTGTAATCGTAGCTTCACTTTGATTTGGCGTCGTCATCATTGTCGTCGATGTGGTCATATCTTTTGTTCAAAATGTTGTAATCATTGGCAACCGATTGAAGGGTTGGCAAGTGATAAACCAGTACGTATATGTCATGAATGCTATGAATTTCTTAATCCAAATATCTGAACAATGAATAATGTGCCTATCTGTGTTATTTGTTTGTGCAATGCATCACACACACAAACACAGTCATTGTCTTTCTTCAAAAATCTCGTGCCAAACAAACTAACTCATGTGTTTGCCTTGTCAGTGTGATAAAGCAATACCGGCTATCTATCGCTTATTCGCCTATCAATCGACGCAGAATTCCATCATACTATACATGTTTTGGGATATTAAACGAAGTTATTCATTGTTCAATACTACAGCTGTTTTAATAATAATTGTGATACTTATTTAATTTCATCATTAACTTTATTTATTTTTAATTTATTAACTTGCTTTAAAGGTAATTTTCTCGCGTATATTTGTATGTATGTAGCTGGACAGTTTAGACAATAATAATGGCTAAACATACATAAAATCAGCTGATTGGTGCATATGTTAACTATAAGATCTGATATTAACCAATCAGAGAGTGCAATCATCTCGCCTACTGAATTAGACGTTCTCTGATTGGTAGGTTTGAGGACAAAACTGATCAGCTGATTATAGACTTTATCCAATCGTTTTTCGGTTTACTCTGTTTTATTCTTTAGATAATATATTATTATTATGTACATAAATATGATTTTTTTATTTCTGTAAATGATTAGTTATTTAACTAATATGCTTTGTATACATAACTGAATTATATTGCTACTTTAATTATTATTAATATTACTATTGTTATTACTATTTTAAATACTATTCGCAGTAATAGTGATGATAATAAAATGGGGGAGATTTTATACTTTCTTTCTTTTGTTAACGTTCTTATTTATAAGAATTTGTATTATTTGTTCCACTGTTTTTCGGAGTTGAACGTAGGCATATCTCTATCGTACTATGTTCACAGTGGTCATTTTTAACTGGTTCCACGACTGTTCAAATGTTGTATTCATTCCCTGTTCTTTACATGATCTTGTTCATTTCACCCTTGGATAATCGACGTGTCGCTTTCTATTCACACTGGGATTCCAATCGAGGGCGTGATGTGTAATACACTTGGAGATGTTTTCTCAGTGTATTTCCAATATATCTCTCTTTTCAATGGTTGGTTTGCAAGGATTTGATTGGTTACAAGATTTCATGATGAGCTGACATCGGTTAGAGGACCATTGGAAAATCAGTCTGAGAGTACTATTGGACAGCCGTCCCGTCCTAGTATTGGACTCTTCATTAGTACGCACTCACCACCGGGGTTCGAACCCAGGACCTTCTGGTTATAATATGAGCTAGCTCGTAGACCACTAAACCACTGGGATCCGATTCAATGGCCAACCTATGAATTCCAACCTCCATTTTAGTTCACTGCAACATTTTTGATAAGTCTACAGCACTTTTTTGGAAATGCTTTGCTAACACGTCCACCACGTCTGTGAATCATCTATAGGCGATGACTTAGGATATTGTTCCACATTCTTGATGCTCGAAATCTCCAGACTAGTGAACACTATGTCTTTCTTTCAAATAATGTAAGTGGAGCTGTGGCACGTCCATTCACTTGCTTCATTTCGAACCCCTACTATAGGTTTAGAAGGCTGGTTAATTTCAGTAGACCGGATACAATGTGCGTAATTCATTAGCAAATGCATGAAACAGTGCACGCAGCTGTTAAATTGAGCTGTTCAAATCAATGATGGGGATATGTTAATAAGAGGAGAACAATAATCACCCGTCATCTACGCCAAACTGGTGTCCTACGTACTGAACTAATAGCCATATATTGTGCTGCCCAATCAGAATCAGGGGTAAAAGCCTGCGACCTAGTTACGGAAAATCGACTGGTAGGTCTAGTGAGCCACAAATAACAAGGAATGCAAATTCTTCAATTCCCTCCTAATCTGAAGAATACAATGCGTCGGTGGCACAGTGGTCAGGACTCTCGCCGACCATACACATGGTCCGGGGTTCGAGCCCACGCCGACGCACACCTGATATCTACGGTCAGCCTGGGAAATTTGGGCTACCGATATCCACGCTGAAAATTCCATACTTGTACCAAAAATACGGTGTGGAATCAAGCTGTAATCAAAGATAAATATTCAGCCAAGGATGAATGAATGAAATCACTTCTTGTTAATTTTTTAAAAATCTCGCTGCCTAAAATAATCATTCAAAACTTTGTTTATCCCTTATTCATTTGACCTTAATTCTGTGATTTCAGCTCTGTCGACCCTCTATCTATTTAATTTGTGGCTATATTGTTTTCGGGTTGTTTTTTCTACCGTAAAATGCAACCCTATTGATTATTATTATTTTCATGACTGATTATGTACACAATAAATATTCTTGGTTATTACTATCATATTGACAAATTAATTACCTTAATTGGATATGCGTATATATGTGATATGACTGACTGGTTATGCAAGCAAGTAGACTGCAAGATATACATACAAACTTAATGTGAAGCTAACAGAGCCTACTCTTATCTCTCAGCCTCGACAATACCACCAGCATGAGAGAACACAAGAGAAGAGGAACCTTTGGAAACAGTTCTTTCACAGTCTTAAACAACTTTATAAAATTTACAGTATGATGGGGCATTATTGGTTGATAACGTTTTAAGCATTATTTATTGGTCATACGTAATCAGGTCAGGCTTTGATTACGGTTACTTCATCGGTAGGTAATAGTATTGTATTACTATGTGTTTCTTTATCAAATAAAGTTATTCTGTGGTGAAACTATGCCAGTTATCTACTCACTTACTTTGCAAGCGGGAGGTAGAACCTCAAGGCTTTCAGAGTGTTGGTATGCCGGACTTAACCTCTTTCCTGGGCTTGCTACTGGCTGGTAGTGAACTAGGCAGGGTGTAAAGGAGTGTGTCGGTGGGGAATCTAATCTGTCGGAGTAAAATTTATGGAGGAGCCGACTGGCGGTAGTGTAATGACAGAAGAAGAGGGCTGAGCAAGAGGTCGTTTATTGAGAAAATCAACAGATATTCATAGATTTTTATGTACATTATTATTCCTTATTGTTAATAGACAAACAGCGTCTTCTGATTGGTTGTTTTCTCACTGGAAGTTATTCTGTCATCTCTTTGTGGCCATTTCTTTGAAGGTCAGATCATATATCTGCAAATCGTATCCGCCCACGCAAAGTCTTCTGTGATTGGTTGTTAAGTTAGTCTTTGTTGTTGTTTTTTTTCTCATGGCCAAGATCTGGGATGTAAGCATTAAAGTAAATTGCTGTCTAATAATTTTGGCTAGCAGACAGCTCTCACCACAGTAGCATTTATATTCATCTACGCGTTGTTCCATAGTTTAATTCTTTCAATTTATAAGCATATGAAATATCGGAAACTGTAAATGTTATTAGTAGTAATCACCCCTGGTGATTGACACCTGTTACATCACTGAGCTATTCGGCGACCTTCGGTTTGAATCCTACTGCGGCTTAGATTTTCATTTCACCACCCTTTACACCAATAATCAAATAAATAGTCGTCTTTAAAGTTGTTCGCGTTAAAATAAGGCCTTATCTTCGCAAACTTGGCTTCCAGAATGTAGTCAGCACTGTCACTACTAAGGTCTAGGAAGGTATTATTATTATATTATTTTCTCCTTTAGTTCCTAAGGGAACTCAGGGCTCCACCCGCACGTCTCCATTGCGTCCGGTTTTCCTCCCACGTTTTGACTTGGCTCTACGTCTGCCAACATGCTTTCATCTCCTCGTCACATGACCTCCTCCAAGTCACCCTTGGACAACCAACCCGCCGCTTCCCGTTCGGGTTCCACTCGAGCGATGGCCTGGTGGCCTGATGGACGTCACTTGATGATAGTTTGTTTTCTCAGAGTATGGCCCCCAATCCACCCACATTTCTTCTTGCATATTTTTGCACAATTGGTTCCTACTGGGTTGGTTGGTTCGTTCATTGCCAGAGATCCCTACTGTCAATGATCTTTTCTGACTGGCCATCTGATCTTGAGTAGTATTGAGCAAAGACAGCTGTTGATGCAGGTGTGTAGTTTGTTCAAAATTTTTTGATTACACCTTGATTCCACACTGTATTTTTGGTACAAGTATGGAATTGTCAGCATGTAATATTGGTAACCCAAATTTTGCAGGCCGACCATAGATATCAGGTGTGCGTCGGCAGGGGGTTGAACCTCGGACCATGTGCATGGTCGGCGAGAGTCCTAACCACTGTGCCCTTCGTGACGCGGCGCGGCGTCAACTCTCTGATCCATAGAGTAAGTAGCTCTGACTTCACATTGGAGTTGAAGATTCGGATCTTATTTTTCATGCTGAGTGCTGCTGACCTCCACAAATAGCTGACAGAAATGAAAGCTTGCCTTACTTTCCCGATTCACGCTTTGATGTCTTCATCAGGTCCGTCGGCCTGTAGTTGAAACGATGCTTCTCAGGTAGGTAGGTGAAGGAGGTTGCTTCTTTCAGATTCGTCTCATTTATGATGACTGCTGTTGTTGGCCGGGAATCTTCATCACCTGTTTTCTCTATGTTTACCTGAAGGAAGTCCTATCTTTCATACTTCTTCTGTCGCTAACTTTTTGCTTTTTACTTGCATATCAACCAGTTTGTGGGAAATCAGACACATATATCATCGATGAAATCGAGATCATCGAACTTTTCTGTGTGGGTCCATATTTTGGTTGTTTCCTCACTACCCGCTGTATGTTGCTATGAGGAAAATTATTAAAAATAGTAGGTAGCCAGCTTGTCTTACTCCGGTCTTCACTTCTTCAAAAGACTCCGTGAGTTTCCCGTTGTGGATTACTTGGCATGCAGCGTTATCGTACAACTGCTGGATGAGATATACAGTTGTTGGCGGCACCTCGTAGCAGCGAGGTAGTTGCCAAATCATCCCTCGATCGGCCCCGTAGAAGACCTTTTCAAAGTCAATGAAGTTGAGACAGAAAGATGACAGCCATTCCAAACTCTGTTCATTGATGATACGTAGTGTTGTGATTTGATCGATGCATCACTTGTTCCTCCTTAATCCAGCCTGTTCGGCCGAAGTTTTTCATTTAGGATGATGCGGCTTAGTATTTTGCTTGGGATGGACAGGAGCATAATGCCGCGCCAGTTCTTGCATTGACTTAATTCTCCTCTCTTTGGCAGTTTGAATCAGTAGCTTTTCTTCCTATCCGCAGATACCTCACCCTCTTTCCACACTTTCTCCAGTAGTGATGTCATCAAGTCCCCTGATATCTCTGGGTCCATTTTCAATGCTTCTATGTCGACTAGGAAGGTGACATTATCTTATGCCTGAGACTGGATCAATAGTTTGTTGATCTAAGTTCAAACTATACTAATGCTGTCTCCCCATACGTTAATCAGATAGTCAACCAATCAGATCTCACCATACTGATGGACACCTACGCAATAATCAGATAACAATAAATTCGATTTTAGCCCTGTATTAGCCACTCATTAATTGGCCCATTGTTGCAGCGTATAATTAGTCAAGGATATTTTTTTTATACGTGAGTCATCTTGTAATTAGAAGTTCGAGAAATTAACATTCATTATTGTTAATCTCAGCAAACATAAGATACTGGCTCTACATATTAGTTTTTATTACTGTACAGGACGTTCGAAAATTATTTCGCGGTCAAAAACGTGATAATCCATGGGAAAGAAAATTGAGATTGATAAATTGGGTTAGATGACTCAATGTAAGTAGGAAAACTTTGTAGCACAACGTTAACTGCATATTACATTATCTTACACTTCTGACTTTTCTACTTTTGACCTTCATTCAACTCTTTTAACTATTTGTATTACATCAGCCAACCAATCTATTTAAATCAGTAAAACTTAGTTGTAATTTATGTTTAATCGAATTAGCTTAGTTTCACTAGCATAGGTCGATCAGTGTCATCTGAATAAGGTTATTCTGAACAATTCATTTATGTAGGATCAGGTTGGAAAAGAGCTAGTGGTGGTCAAACCAGAACGTGGCTTCATTAGTCAGTGAAATCCACAACAGTTATTTTGAGCCAAGCAGCCACGTAGTGAATTGTAGACTACCTGACTGGTTGAGGTCCTTGGGATGATAAGAACCGAACTAATGAAATAATTGGTGATATGACACAAAATCGTCCTCACTGACTGGCACAGATTCATCCACTCTTTGTGATTTATCATATCCAATAAAATTCTATATTGGAGGGAGAGTGGCAACTCGGGCTGTTGTACATCTGTACAAAGTTCTGAGTTGAAAGTAGTCAGTCACAGTACATTTACGTGCAGTAGAGAATTTCTCGGCGTGTTTTTATCTATTCCTTATACACAGGATAGTAATTTACAGAATATCATATCAGACGACAGAACATTCTCCGACCCACCCACTGACGGTGTCGTCGTTTAAAATAACATTACTGTATCTGTATTGGAAGCACGTGAGTACAAGTTTTTCAAGAACTATAGTCAGACGGTTAAAACGAAGTGGAAGTGAGTAAACCTCATGCATTAAGCTCTATATGTTAAATTAGGTAGCTACCGAATCATTTAGGCAGGCCGTCGTCATACATTCATACCATGTGGGTACAAGACAAAAGCGCACACTATTTTGCAATAAAGCTAGAATAAGCTTACAGTTAAGAGGTTTTAGTTAATAATACAATGCTCCTAGATGTTTCAATGGTAGAATGCTAGCCAGCTACGTACGTGGTCCAGGGTTCGACCCCCGTCTGTGATGTCCCGAGTTAACTAACTGGTAATAAGCCTAGAAAGAAGGAGAGATTAGGTGTGGGGCTATCAGTCCCGCCTAGTGTAAACGACACTACTGTTGAAAATTCAAAAACCTTGAACCCACTTGAAATTCAAGGAAATTAGGAAATGTTATGACGACTTATAGATGACTATTACAGACAGTAGACCAGATATAACCTTATTGTGACTAACTGATAACTTATTAAACGGATTCCAGATAAAATGCAACAACGTTTCGCTAATCATAGGTGTCAAACTTGAAGTGAACCTTCTAAATTGTTATATTTATTTGGCGAATCACATACACACACTAAAACAGTACTATTCAATGGATGACGATGTCACGAATACAATGTATTGTGTTTTCGCTATCTTTGGACGGAGGATTTAATCATGAGCTGACATCAGTTAGAGAACCACTAGAAAACCTAGGAGTACTGGACAGCTGTTTCGTCCTAGTTTGGGACTCTTCAGCAGTACGCGCCCACCGGGATTCGAACCCAGGACCTTCTGGTTACAAGGCGAGCTCGTATACCATTGAGCCACTGAGACCCGATCCAATGGTACTTGAAAATTTTCGCTATCTCCACAATTTCGAAATTCGGTTTTTATAGTTCTCGTTCTGCTTTCCCACTAGTTATAAGGGGAGTAAAATCTCCCAAGTGTCCAAGACAGTTGTTGAATCGTTCCTGTTACGTGCATTCTCAGTTTATTCGACAGAAATAAGGCCTCAGCTATCACTGTCTCCCACCACTCTGTCATATTCGATCTAAAGCTTGTCAAAATTTGTCCTCTACTACGCTTGTAAATTGTAAGATGTGCCATACAAGGTCAGCTATTTTCTGCCATTTGCCAATATGTCTCTTCGTATTTCTTCAATAACTAGGAAGCACTGAACGACAGCTGTTTTGTCTTACCCAAGGACTATCCAGCAGTGACTCCGCCAAAGATCGAAACCAAAATCTTCGATCTACGTTCATTCAGCCAATGGATCGAAATTCAATAACCCGCGAATAATAACTTCGATCTGTTGTGGGGTTTTCAATGACCCTCTTATCAATACGTCGGTGCGTGACCAAATCTCCATTGAAATTAATCCAAGACTCATATAATCCGAATACGCCAGATGTAGCTGCGGAGCCAGCCCATTTGGCGTATATTTAGGCAGGTTCACCATCGTATTTCTGAACATCATCCAGCATGCTTAAGTGAGGGACAAACAAGATCTATTCGTAGCTCTATTTTAGCACACCTTGTAGATAGTGAGCATAAGGTTGACGTTAATACAATATTCAAAACTATTTATCGCATCAGTACTAACCTTAATTTTGCTTTATGAGTTCGTCTTCTACATACGACAGCTGAATCAATAGGAATCCACCTGAAGAAGCCAAACCTGTGTGTGTTCAGAAGAAATTTGTACAACCACTTTTCTTACCTTGGACATTGATGGATGTATAAATCGGACTACTTCGCCTCCCTCCCCCTAAATCCTTAAAAATTATAATTGTCCAAATTATTTTATTATTTTCCTCACTACTTCATCTTTAACTACATGTTATCTCTGTACAATTATTTATTCTTATGACCACTTCAACCTTAGTTACAAATTATCATTATCCAAATTGTTTTATTTTCTTTTACAATATGCTACGTAATCAACCTGTGGATACGCTTATTCCTTAATTACTATTCCCTTTCATTTTTCCAAAATTATGCATTATGCAATCCACGTGTTGCAACTATTTCTACCTTTTAATTGTGTGTGTATTAATTTCTTCGTTAATTATCACCCCCACTGACATGTTGACACTGGCTAATTATTGTTAACAAACATATTAGTGCCACTTGATTGGTAAATTGTGTATTGTAACAAAAATGCTATACATGTATATTAGAGCAGAGCCAGAGAAGTGGATGAAGAGTAAATATTTCTTCGCTTAATATCTTTCTGTTTTCTACTCATCTAGTGGTAGTCGACATGTGTTTCGTCCCGTCTGGAACTCGTTAGCTGCATGCATTTCCGCTTGTAACTGTAAGATGTACTATACAAAGTCAGCTATTTACCACCATTTGCCATCAAGTCTTTCTCTACCTCTTCGTATTCCTCGGATAACTAGAAAGCACTGGACAACAGCTGTTTCGTTTTAGCCGAGGTCTATTCAGCAGTGACTCAACCAGAGATCTAGACCAAGATCTTCGATTTACGTCGCCAGTCCATTGATCATTCGGCCACCCGGTTGAAATTCAATAGCTTCGACCTGCAGTGGGATTTTGAATGATTCTCTACTAACCAGTACATCAGTTCGTGAACACATCTACACCGAACTCAATCCAAGACCCATTTAATCCGAATATAAAAAAAGGTTTATTTCTAATATTTAAAAAAAACAATTCTGTACACAAAGGTTAACATGAAAATTATCAGATTAAGTGAATTTATATACACAGAATAACCGTTAAAGAGAAGAGAGAAAATGTCATAAATATATTATTCTTTCACTATTACTACTTAAATTAACATCAGTAGTAAAGTCAGTCAAAACATTCAGCTCCCTCTCTCTCTCTATCCACTTATCTTTCATTAAAACAATAAATAAAGTTGGTCAAAAGAAGAAACAAAATCTCAATGAAGCATTTTATAGGCTAATTGTTCAATTTCATCATGTAATACATTCAGATCCAATGAACGCAGAGCTGGCAGTAATTGTGTATGGATCACCGAGGCTACACAGGACTAAACAAGTAGTACACAAATGAGAGAGAGAGAGAGAGATAAAACAAATAATCACAGTAAACAACAACATGAGGAAGATTGAAACGGTAGTCGGAAAAAAAATTATTATATACCCAGAGGAATTTACAGTCTAAGAAAGGTAACAGTTTGCAGTATCGACGAAGTTACCATTTGATGATATTAGGTGGTTGGAGGCAATCGGCCACAGGAAGCCCTATCTGACCTAGGTTTCGTGAACTCGTTGGCACTCACCAGTCAGCAAGGCGTATCTCCAACTACCTTGAAGGAACTCATATCCTTCACTCTGAGATTCGAACCCCGGTCACCCGGTGGAGCTGCAGTCAAAGACTTTACCACTGTGCTATTCGGACTCGTGATTACCTCCTGTAGGACTGTAGTGAATACTTTGATTGGACACTAGTAAATAGTGTGATGTGTCTAGTCCTTGATGTTTGGTTCAGACTGAATTCTATCAGTCAGGTTTGCAACTAGCACGAAATCAAGGTCCAAGCCTTCCCCCATAGCCGATTGCCTCCAACCATCTTATATCATCAAATCAATGTGCACCGTGATGGTGAGCTACCTAGAATGATGGCCATATTGCAAACCTGACTGATAGAATTCAGTATGCACCAAAGAAAGGACTAGACACATCACACTATTTACTGACTAGTGCCCAATCAAAGACGTTAGCATTTATCAGACTCCCCTCCCCAACCCCTTACAATGCGTTATTTTATCTTTGGAAATCACTTCTGCATTGAATTTTTCACATACACACACACCGTTGGTTCTTTGCATCTAAAGGACGCTAGCCATGTCATCAAAAATGCTCATCAAGGAAAGCGGTGGGTGTGTAAGACGTCTTAGCTACCTCAATAGACGCTGCATCACTATCTTATCAGGTGAATTTCTCTGCTTACCACCTAACGCACACACTCGACACCAAACCTCAATATTACTCACCACATTATGTCTGTGAAAAGGACGACATAACAACACTATTATGCTGTTGTTGTCTTCATCAAAGTGTTGAAGATGTCTTCTAAGGTACCACTGAGATCAGGGAACATAGCCACGCTATAAAGCATCCATTCGATCTACAGATCTCCCCACCTCCATTTCAAAAGAGCTCTAACCCCTGATAATCATTGAGCTGATTACGAAGAGAAATTGTGTTCGAAACGATATCCAGTAATTAACACTGTTTTAGTGTGTGTTGTTCTACAGGGACTTGATTGTTTACAGGATTGATTACGAGTTGACATCATTATTTGGAGAACCATTGGGAAACCTACTAGTGGACAGGTACTTCGTCCTCCTAGTTTAGGAGTCTTCATCAGTACGCGCCACGCACCAGGGTTCAAACCCAGAAACTCCGGTTACGAGACGAGATCGTAGACTATTCAGCCACTGGGACATAACTTAATGACCCATGAATTCCAAATTATGCCAATTCTTGAGCATTGATGAAGAGTGCCATATCAGGACGAAACAGCTGTGCTATATTCGCAAGCTTTCCAATGGTCTTCTAACTGATGCAACATATATCTAACAGAAAAATCACCATGGAGCTCCAATCATCGATGGTCAACATGTCAGCGGTTATTGTAAACAAGTCTATAAGCTATGCAGAATTATTTAGATCTACGGTTAACCTTGTTTTGTTCAACTTAATCACGTCTTTTTCAGCTAAAACTGAACCCTATAAAACAAAATTAATCTACGCCTCGCTAGTGACTGACCACAGGATGAAACTGCCTGAAGTTCTAGGGAAAAATCGTGACCAGTATATAGTGTGTATAGTCAAACATCCGTTGGTAGTGCGGCGCTATATATCACGAATCCCCAGAAGTTAGTATTAATGAACCATTTGAATCTGTCCTCACAGCGAGGAAGGATCAACTGGCTCATCTATTAACCTGAAGGTGTTGAGTCCGACCCCATGGCGATGAGGTGGGTCATGAGGGCATACTGCCGAAGAGTTTCAAAGTGGACGACTACTCTCTGGTTTACAACAGTTCACTAACATGAACCGATTCGTCGTGGTCAAAATCAATTAAATCCCTGAAAACCAACCCTTGAAGTCGACAAAAACACCAAGAAAATACTCTGCATTAGAACAAAGTAAAACCAACCTTTGAACACTTTCATTAAATATATGCCCAATCGGATTTAATGATTGACAACTATTATCATTATCATTCTTTTCTGTAATCATTCTTTGCAGTAATGTATTATGCAATACTGTACTGAAATAAATTTTCAAAGCTGAATTTCGAATCTTTTCATCGTCATTATCACCATCACCATCATCATCATTCTGATTAGTATTATATGATCCCTGATTTTGATAAGATGATGCAGCATTACAGTTGGATGACGCTATCAAATTATTATTATTATTATCATCATCATCATTATGATGATGACACATAGTTGATCGATTTTTTGACGGTGAAGAATAACACATTATTAAATATGATATACAAGTAGAACAAACATGTAATTCATGCAGTAGAAATGGCCAATCAAGAAGGATAAGAGAATGATGAAACAACGGTTCAACACAGGAGAACAGTAGTGCTGTGTTAGAAAAAAACCAACAAAAGAAAATATATATGTATAAGTTTTTGTATCTGGGTAGTCATGTGAGTGCTGGTGGAGGCGTGACGGATGAGGTTTTTAACCGTATCATGAAAGATAGGGTGGCGCCGTCAACCTGGCTGTCAAAACTCGGGTATACAATGCTCCCAGTGTGCGTTGTCTCGCTCTACGTCTGTGAAACCTGGCCTCTCCTAGCTGAGGATGTGCGACGACTCTGCGTATTCAAACATCGCTGTCTCCACAGGATTACTTGCGTTCGACGGTATCATCGTATGAGTAATTTCTGTGGTCCAGCGGTGTGTGTTTGGACACAGTGGAAATCACCATTCGTTGAGTGTTGTCATCTAGAAAAAAACAGGCTTCGATGGCTTGGACATGTGCTGCTAATGTCATCCTAGAGACTTCTGTACCAGAGGACTCTCTGCTCGCTAACCAATCCTGGGATGGGATGGAAAAAGCGGAGAGGTGGTAGGTCACGTGGCGTCGTGAGATGGAGGAGGATATCTCTCCCTGACCTGAAACCTAATCTTTCCCTCTCCTGTTCAATATTCGTACACTTCTTTCAAATCTTTCTTACTGAATATGATCACATTTAATTGATTTCATTGCTTTGCTCTAGTTGGGTGTCCCATGATCATTGGTGAATTCGTTTGTTTGCGTGTCTATTCCTTAACTTATCCAAGATTGTTATACCATGATAGACTACTACGCTATATCACTACAAATGATAAACAGTCCATCCTCTGATAGACAGAATAGGATTCAAACTCATGATCAGAGCAGTTGAAATTCTAATGTGCCAAGTTTGACTTTTAAAATTACGAGTCAACCTTTTTTGTGAGATTAACTAACCCCAAAGTCTCTGGTTCTATGGTAAAATGCTCGCCAGTCAAGTACAACGTTCGAGTTAGATTCTATGTCGACACAATACTAAGCCTCACCACCTCCTAACCGATAGTAAGCTTGGAAAAGACATGAGATTATCAACCCAACTCCACTCCACCCGACCTCGTGAAATAAAGCACTACTGCCTGTTGCTGAAACGTCAACAGCTCGAAGCAAGGAAGGCAAGGAATGACTGAGAGAAGTTACAACATTATTACACGACTTATAAGCAAATTAATTTAACTTACATTTTGCATAATTTAATTGAGGATATGCCTTCAAAATATTACATGACAAAAAGTAATAATGATTTTGATCATGATCATGATGGTTAGCATTGAAGATGGATTTCATTAAAGATGGATCATTTATATACAGTAAACTACACTTTTTATTGGAATCAATAATGCTGCAGCACAGAAGGTCTTGTTTATCTCCACCTCCATCGCCAACATCACCATCACCGCCACTGCACTGAACAATTTCCCGATGAATACGATTAGCCAAATTCCATAAATTTAAACGTTGTAATGCTGGAATCAGCTGTTCCACAACCAATTTTCGAATAAATTGCTTGAATTTATGTATACATATATTAATGCCAGAAAACAAATATAAATTTTTAAAAAATATATATCATTACACTATGCAGAGAAATAAAATAACAAAAGAATCGTCTTCAGTATTCAAGTGAGAATTTAAAATCTGAGAGAAAGAGAAACGAACACTATCCTTAGGTAGATTGTAACTATTTTCTATGCTGACCGACTGACTGGTTTCGACGTAAAACTTCGCACAAATCTGCAGCAGTTCGAGTCGCCACTCTCCCTTCGTGTACCACACAGAGCAAGCCAAAAGAGAGACAGAGTAAAGAGAGATTCAAAAGACAGATAATAAACAGAAATATGAAGCAAAAAGAATAGTAGTAATATGGTAGAACAGTAGAATTTTATTGGATATGATAAATCACAATCATATATATATAAATCACAACAATCAGACAGCATAAATGGGAGGAACCTGAAAGAAACAACCAACTTCACCTACCTACCTACCTACCTGGGAAGCATCGTTTCAACTACAGGTGGATGGAACTGACGAGGATATCAAAGCAGCGAGGATCAGGAAGGCGACACGAGCTTTCATTTCTCTCAAGTCTGTGTGGAGGTCAACAGCACTCAGCGGGAACATGAAAATAAGATCCGGATTTTCAACTCCAATGTGAAGTCAGTCAGTGCTACTTTGTGGATCAGAGGCTTGGCGCGTCATAAAGAGCACCTCAAACAAACTACAGGCCTTCATCAACAGCTGTCTTCGCCCAATACTACTCAAGATCAGATGGCCGGACAGAAAAGATCAGCCACAGGGATCTCTGGGAGCGAACCACCTCGGTAGGAACCGATTGTGCAACAAATAAGCAGGAAGAAATGGAGGTGGATTGACCATACTCTGAGGAAACCAGCAAGTGACATCACTAGACAAGCCCTCGAGTGGAACCCAAATGGGAAACGGCGAGTCGGTCGTCCAAGGGTGACTTGGAGGAGGTCATGTGAAGAGGAGATGGAAGCATATGGGCAGACCTGGAGTCAGGTGAAAACATTAGCAGAGAACCGAACGCAATGGAGACGTACAGCTGAAGCCCTATGTTCCTCTAGAAATTAAAGGAAATAGTAGTAATATAATAATAATGATAAATCACAAAGAGTGAATGCATCTGCGCCAGCCATTGAGAATGACTTTCAGCCATATCACCAGCTGTTTCCTACTATTAGTTCTTGGTGTCCCGAGGACCCTAACTAGGCAGTCTAAATCACCCTAAGTGGCTGGCTCAAACTAACTGTTACAGATTTCCTGGACAGAGTCCTTGTTTTGGTTTGACCACCACTGGACTAGCTCTTTTCCAACCTGATCCATCCTATGTCAGTCAGCTAACGTTGCCCAACGGTCGAGGAAGGTGATGGCTAGACATGAACGCGTAACACATGTCCTAACCATCTCAAATCCATGTAACTTCGAAACCTCGTCAATTGATTTCCCCTGATCACCTAATACTCGACTGACGCCTAACCTCAATATTGCTCACCTCATTATACCACTTGTCATGAGAGACAGAACCTAGACACATACCTATGCTGCACCTACACAGAGACTCCATCTATATGGATTTTTATGCAGTTGGCGATCAGTCAACAATCCCATTGTGTGTTTGACAGCGAAACACGGGACTATTTGATGCACATATGGTAAAATACAGAAACTTTAAGCTCCAAAAGGCAATATGCATGCATGTTCTCTTCTTTAGTCTTTTTAGTCTTTCCTTCATGTTTTCTACATTAGGAAGAAAAAAGGAGAATAGACCAGATACGCAGTCATTATTTAAAATTTTAAATAAATTCCCTATTTTCTCACGGTATTACAGCCAGAAAAGATTTAAACTGTCCAGTCTTTCGTTGTATGATACCTTTGTCGTACCAATAATCATATATGTGTTGGCTTCCTTCAAACCCTTTCCAGAATATGTGAGTCCCCTTTGATAAGACAAGTACTGGTGGCATGGACACAGAGTTTTTCAGTCTTGACCACATCAGAGATGCAAATTCAGAGGTGAACATATCTCTGGTAATTATGGTATGGCCTCTGCAAATTAGAATATGAGATGAAAATCAGACTAAATTATTATATCATGTGTGACTCTGTATATATATAATCAGACGCATGTGCAGGTGTTCAACTGTACTTACTTTTACTTTACTTCGGCTATCTCCTACGGGAGGATGAGCCGGCTTCATGAACGTCTCGAATCATCGCTGCCCAGGCGCGGCAATTTGTAAGAGAGTTCATGAAGTTTCATGGGAATTTGGTACGAGTGATGTCCCCAGCATCGCTCGGCCTTTTGTTTGAGAGTGCAGCTCTAGCCTTTACACAGCCAAGTGTGACCTACAAGGCAGTAGGAGTGGAGTAAGGAGTCCACTATCCATTGGCAGCCGGTGACCGGAGTTCGGTTCATACGCCTTTTTGAATGGGGCCAGACATCCAGGACATCCAACAGCCCTTTGTCCATACGTCTGCCGGTGAGCTTCATACGCCAGTCGTTGGAGGTTTGGAATCAGGGTTTAGCCATCTCCCCTAGACTGTCATCCAATGGACAGTCAACCCGGTGGAGAGCGCCGGGCATCCGCTTTCGCCCTCTCACTTTGGTGAGAAACACCTCCGCCACGTGAAGGCAGTGAGTAGGACTTCCTCAGGAGAGGCTATGTAAGACGCCCGGTCATATGGGAGCATTTGAGGAGGTGTGCGGAGGGGTGGCCAACCCGCAGCGCAAGGCACCCACCCCCGACCAACTGTGACAGTAGTTGGTGGTGTAAGCCACAATACGAATATTACAGAAACATAAATCAACAACAAATGGAACAATTTATACGTAACTTCACCGTGACAACTAACCACAATCACAATGAAATAATAACGTTCATGTCCTGTAGATATGCAAACGCTAATAATCAACAATTATCATCCTATAAAAACAATCACATCCTTTCATAAATTAAAAACAGATATTTGCAAGACAAATTCAGCCGGACAACATCATCCCGTAGTTCCCCTACTATCGCTTTATAACCAGCATGATTCACAATAATAAAATGAAATGTATTTTTTCTTTCACGTCCCCCAGTGGAACATAGGACATCAAGTTTCTGTAGCAGTGCCTAGTTTACAGGATATGGTTGCTAGCTTCATGCACCAATTTTCCTCTTCACCAGCACTATCTCCGGCTTAGCGAGGTAAAGGAGTGCATAGGCCGGGGATCCAACCCCGGACCATGTACATGGTCGGCGAGCGTCCTAACCGCTATGCCACCGACGCATTAAAATAAAATAAAATGCATAACAATTACTCAGCTACAGGATTTCATCATGAGCTGACATTAGTTAGAGAACCATTGGAAAACATGGGAGTATTGAACAGCTGTTTAGTCTTAGTTTGCGACTCTTAGGCAGTAGGCACCCACCAAGATTCCAACCCAGGACCGTCCAATTAAAAGACGAACTAGTACACCACTGAGCCACAGGGACACGATCCGATGGTCCTTGAATTCCAACTTCTGCCAATTCACGACATAGCGCGACCGCAACCCAATGTCTTTGGCAAGTATTTCTAAGCTCATGATAAAATCATGAAACCAATCAAATCCCTACAAACCAACACTTGAATTACTCAGCTACACAAAACGAAAGTACATACTAATGACCAATCATATTTTGAAATAGGTCAAGTAGTCAGTTCATATTAGGCGAGAAGGTTGAAGTCTATTGTATTTTGTGATTAATCCCCCACAGTTCTTCCATCACCTTTAATGATAACCAACCTTGAATTAGAGTTATGTGGTGAAATAATTGTGAAGCAGTCATTATTTATTTTCATTTTGTGACCTGACTTTAATAAATACTTTGCAGTGGATGGTGATGATGGATTTCTATTGAGATTAATTGCGTTGGGATTTTCTAAATGTTTCAAAAACCCTTTCGGAACATGTTCTTTTCGACGACCACATTCCTACATTCTATTGGCTCTAACCATATAGATGTCACCGCAGCTGCAGTTGAACTAGTAGATACAGTTTGAAGTGGAGTTCACAGAATTTCGTCCTTTAGTCGTAGATAAAGTGACCGAAAATGTTCGAGATGTGAGGAAAGAGATGTGGCGGCGTAGAATAAGCCTTTGATGGCTGACCGAATTCTTCGAGCTAACTGTCAACTGCATAATTTCATTCCTTTCGAATAACACAGGGAGCTCTATCCTCAATGTGACAATTGATAAAGTTTTCTGGGTAACCATTAACTAACAGAACCGAATGTTTGTTTCGAAACTCATCCATCAATGTGTTTCGCTAGTGCTCATTTTGTGGGCCCTTGAGAACAAACTCTTCACTAGGGAACGTTTATACTGGATAGGAACAAAACTGGTGAAATGAAGATATTGTCGACTCCATGTCTGCCTACGAAGTGTGGATCGCTTAATTGTTCCATCGTCTCTCCTAGTCATTGTAATATCCAACAAACCGAGTTTGTTATTCGATTCGAGTTCGGGCGTCACTCGAATGTTTGGATGAATATGATTAAATAGGGTCATAAAGTTTTCAATAGACCTACTGTTATTACCAATAATGAGTGTATCATCCACATAACATTTATATAGTAGAAATTTTTCTAGCATACCTTGCATTTTTTTCTCCAATTTAGACATGAATATATCTGCTAACAGGAGGCAAAAAGGACTCCCCATCGCAACACCATTCATTTCTTTGTATGCCCTTTTCCCGGAATGTGAACCTGATATTTTCTGTACATATTAGGATGATGTCTCTGATGTAAGTGACAGGGATAGGTAAGTTTATCCCATTGTTTGTGATGCAGTCGAAAATGAAATCAACAGTTTCATGAAGTGGAACATTGGTGGATAAAGATTCTATGTCGATTGAGCACATAACCTTTTCCTTAATGTTCAAGGTGTCTAGCATATTGGTCAGATCAAATGAACCTTTTCACAGAACGATTTGATAAAAAGGTTCTCTT